CTTAATGCATGCAGATTTATCTAACCTGCTATTTAATTTATTAAAAAATTTATATTATGCTGTTTGGTAAAAGTGCCTCTAGAAAATATTTAACATCCGTTATTTAATGATTTTTAACAATTATAAAGTAATTCAATTCAGCTTCTATTTACCCTTAATTGAAATAGGATAAATTGAATTTTTTTGAAAGTCAAAGTGAAAAATTAAAGAAAGTTATAAAGTGATTTGTAGGGAAATGCCTGAATGCGTATGTTTCATTTTTATTTATTTCATAATAACTTATCATTTTGCGTTCTTTGAGAATGTATAGCTTCCCTAAATCTCAATTTAATTGGTATTCCCAAGTCTAAAAACAGCATCCATGAGTGGTATACTGTGTTGTTTTTGTTTGTCCGCTTTTCTTTTATCTGCAAGTGGATGCGACGTGTCCGCAATAATTTGGTCGCACTACTGTGAAAAAGTGGAACTCGAAGCTTGGGAAAAACAGGCGAATATGTGTCAGGCGTGGCCGGAGAAAGGATTTGTCACTTTTTGTAGGCTGCAGCAGGAGCTCTAAAGAGACGACTTAAATAATCAACTAAGCCAAGTGCGACAACTGCGACAAAGTGTGCTGCGGCAAATGAAGAAAGTTCGGGCTCTCTTACGCCACTTTCCCCTTGGCTTTCTCTGTTTCAACCAGCAACATTGCGAAAAAGTCGTAGAAAAGTAGTTAAACTTCTGCGTTTTTTCGCTGACATAATTCGCGAGCAGAGCGACCGGCGCCAGTACTGAATGATATATCCAAGTGGTAGTAATAAATTCCTCCAGTCATGCCACATAGTATGCCAAAGTTGCTAAAGACCTTCTATATGTGAAAGAACTTCAAAGCTTTATATATGGGTGAGTGGAAAACAGATATGTAGTTAGAAAAGTACAGAGGAACGCAATTGCAATAAGCACATTGCATTGAGTTTTGTGAGTATGTCGCAACTAATTTTAGATTGAGGGATTGCAGACCTTAAAACAAAGCGAAACAATATGTAATAAAATTTAAAAAAAAAATTTTTAAATATATATACTTAAAGGTATATAATAGTAATTTAATATCAGTTCAATACACATAAAATAAGATAAGTATTACATTTTTTTTAAATTAATGAATAACATCAAAAAAGTTTAATTTGATTGAGGTTGAAAATTAATTGTAGGAAAAACTTTAACCCGATTTACTTTTAAAATGTATTTTTATGTTAAGAGAAATAAAAACCAATTAGCAAATAAATGTGTGCTTTTAAAATTGGCCATTTCAGCCCAACTCAAAGGCTTTAATGTTTAAGCTGCCAGGAAAAAAAATACAATATAAATTAATTTAAAGAAAAAACAATTATGTTTAATCTGTGACACAAAGAGTATTTTTACATTGCAAGCATGAATAAAATGAAAAATTAGTCAACGATTGAAAAAAATGGCGTATGCATTTTAATTTTTAATGGATTTCACTTTTGGTATGCGCTTTTGACCTTCACCCAACGTTGTGAACTCGATTAAAGTCGCAAAATTTTGACAATACTGTCGGGACCACGCCCCTTTTGTCCCTGGTGTACCAAAAAGGAGCGGTAGAGGGAAGTATAGGGAGGTATATGGAGTTAGGGGGAGGTGTAAACAAATAGCAACAACGTCTGGTTATGGCCAAGTTCAAGCCAAATGTCTGGCGGCGTCTGAGGCACGTGCTGCCCAGATTCATCTACGTCAGTGTGGAAGCCTCAGCATCAACATCAGATTCAGATTCAGAGTCAGATTGTGAACTCCATCTCCGCCGCCATTTCTCTCCATTTAAATCGAGCCAAGGAAAACTTGTGAAAAATTTGTAACCGAGGCGTTTTGTTTGTTCTCGTTTGCTTTGGTCACGGATACCAACCAGACTGCCAGTCAAGTCAAGTAAACATGATGTGCGGGGTCTAATTTTTTCTCCTTTTTTCCCCATTTTGCCCCTTTTTTATATATTTTTTTTTTACTCAGCCAGTCAACCCATCCAAAAGGGGGTTCCACTCTTCCTCCGTCGGTGTCTGTGAGCTATATGGTTGCACAATATTTTACATTTTCATGCATGACGCGTTTAATCACGTGATGCATATGATTTTTAGCCAGCTCAGAGGTTAGGGGTCTGAGTTCTGGTTTCCTAGAGTTTGGGGGCTTTCCCCATATATTCATGCATACAATTCCATCAGCATGAATTATGTTTTGCATACTTTCAGCCTGAGTTTGTGTGGGCTTTGCTTGTTTTGCGTCTAAGTCTGTGGCGCTGTCTGGTGCATTCTTGCAGCCCTTGATGCCCTCGGCAGTCGCCTTTCATCTCTCCCTGAGATATCCTACTCGGCACGGGTTTTCTCGGTTTTTTTTTTCACATTTTTCGGGAGTGTGGGCCCTCTCAAAAGTTGTGGATTAGAGCGTGTAATTTTACTAAAGAGCGCCAACGAACCGCACTTCACACACATGGTAGCAGTTGTGATCAGTATAATAGCAGAAATATTAAGTTAATATGTAATGTCACTAGAGAATATTTTTAATAAACGAACAAATTATAAATACATTTATTACGTCTGTATTTACCGCCTTATGTCATATAAAAACTATAAATATTAAGTTACAAACAAAACAAATGCTATCCAAAAAATTTATTTTTTAAAAATTTCTGTACTTTAAAATTGTCTAAGACATTCTTAAAGTTGGAATATGAAATATTTTTAAATAGATACAAATAAAAACAAAATGAGTCGGTATCAATCAATTATGATATCCACAGCTCAACATATATAATTTTTACCACTGAATAATTTTAAATTGATATTATAAAAATAATAACTTTTCACTTCCTCAAATATATCAAAGTAATATGCCAAGTATTAGGACCAAATTGATTTGAAATTTTATAAAAATGAGTATAATTACCTTATACATTTTTTTCTTTGATGCCCTAATATTTTGTCGCCAGGTGTAATGGAGCAAAGGGGGTGAACCCCAGTGAGAGGTTGTTGCCATATTTTAAGTGTTTTCTGGTTTTCGGCCACTGTGCACTGCGTTTTTAATTTCACTCGCAGGGCTCGCCTGTAATTTACGTGCTTAACTTTCACACTCGGCTGGCTAAAACAGTCACCGAAAAATCGTCATAAAAATAGAAAATATATGTATGGCTATGGCTATGAGCACTCGAACTCGCACTCGGCCATTTCACACTTTTGCGCCTTTGGCCGAAAAGCGGTGAAAAACGAAAGCGAATCCACAAGGACAACAACCAGAAGCGGAGGAGACCGAATATATTCCAGTGAATATTTATGAGCAACAAAAGTAGCGTTTGTGCTTTACATTCCGACTTTATTGTGGGCAGCATAGTTGTTGTACCCAGGACTAGTTGTTGTGAGCAACAATCCCTACCATCGTCAAAATTCTGATGCTGTTTAACCACTGAAAAAAATGTATACATTGAAATGTGCATTATATTTGGAAATCCAGAAAGTTATTTATCTTTTAACAAGTTTTATTTCTATAAGGTTTGTGTTCTAGAAACTTGTCTTAAAAATCAAACAAAACATTTGAAAAATTCTAAAGCCATGAAATAATATTTAGACTTGTGCTATTACGCCAATAAGAATTTACGTATTTTATTGCCCTTATTTTTGTTAAGCTTTATTTGAAATACGTTTCTCTTGTAATTGCTTTAATCATTATTATTTTATTTATTTATTATTATTTTTAAAGTTATTGTTAGGAACTTATGGTATATGGTAAAACTTTTTATGTTTATATTTGAAAATTATATAATTATGAAATCATGTTTTTCAACGTGTGAGGTTGAAGCTGCTCTTGTTGCTGATGTCGTCCTCATCGCTGTCAGCATTTCCGACGCTGATGAGTTTATGCTTGGGGCCCATATTACTTTATTCCAGAGTATGCCTAGCCCCTGGCCATGCCCCCCGCCCCTGTGGTTTTCCCCTCCAACACAGACACAGATCTACACACACACAAACACAGAGTCGGCCATTCATGACTGTCATGAGTTTTCCGCAATTGATGGTCTAATTATGCCGCCAACACTAAATTTCATGACTTTGCTGGTCGAGCCAACACGCAGACGAAGGCCACTGATGACAAGGGGGTTTTCTAGATGGGAGGAGCGGGGGATGGGGGTTGTAATTTAATGGAAAAACATTTTGCCACACATCCACGGAGAGCGGAGAAATGGAAGCTGAAGCTAAGGGCCACTTTACAGTTTGACAGGAATTGCTAGCTTGCATGGTTGACATTTTAGCTGGGATTTATCGCCCCGTCTCTATGAAAATATGTTAATGCAACAGTTTGAGATTCCAGATTTTATGGGTTTGAGCTTAAGAGCTCTTTAAGTTGAGAGTACAACATCATATAAGTTATGATGGGATTAACATAACTGAAACAAGGCTTAATACTTAGTTCTTCTACCGCAAAGAATTTTTAATAGACTAATAAAAGTGTATCGCGTATTTAAAATAAAGCTTAATAAAGTCAAATTAATTCATAATTTAGAGCTCTTTGTTAAACATTAAGATTACCTGATGAAGTAGAACTCCTCCAGTCAAAATACTTGTAATATACTTATGCTATAAATTTACTTATTAGTCATAAGCAGGTCATATTTATTATTAGCTTAAACCAATTAATTAATCACCCTTTTTTGTACTAACTTAATTGAGATCCACTCACTCGAGAATCGCTGCCGGGCCTCCATTCGGATCTGTAAAGCTAAAATGGTAATTATCATACCGAAACCAATGGGGCATATCAAAATGTTCACACTTCATAATATTTGCATATTAATGTGCATGTATAATTAGCTCGAAAATAATTAATGCCCGAAAACAAGAAACCTAATCGAATGCGAAGGCTAAAAGCAAGCTTCTCCTAATGAGAATCCATTGCTTCGGAAAATATTTGATGTGTGAAGTTAGTTAGTCGGGGTTTAGTTCTTGGTGAGAGTTTCGACTGGAAGGTCTAGCACACTAATAAGTCTTTGAATATGTATCCAAATTGGCTCGTTCTGCTCCACTTGTCGCTGGTTTGTTTGGGAGGTGCTTCGCAAATGTTTGCACAGCCGCTGACAAAGTAGGTCGTGTTGTGGGTGGCAGGCTAAGTGGGTGTGGTGGTTAGCGGGTCAATCTATTGAGCAAACTATTTGCTTGCAGGAAGCAACACAACACCGGTATTTTGAGCATCGAACGCGCGGCTGGACAGAAGATTGAGGAAGCCGCGCTGCAGCAGCATTTGCAAAAAATCACAGGCAGCGAAGCGTTGGCGCCATTGTTGCACGAGTTACTAGGCCAAACTGTGCCAAATTGGCAGCAGCATCACCGCCAGCAACAACAGCAGCAACACCAACCAAAACAACAGCAACACCAACCAAAACAGCAACAACCGGCCACAAATCAACCGAGGCAACCGCAGGGACAAGACTTTTTTGTTTATGAAAACGTCGTGGGTCAACAACCCCAAATATTGGCCGGGTTCAATGGCGTCAATGTGCAACCTGAACAACCAGCCAACCAGCAGCAGCAACTGCGCCTCCAACTGCCAAAGCCAATTCATACCGAACAACAACAACAATATCCAGCAGCCAAACCAGGGCCAAAAATCGTTAAGGCGCCGCCAGCCGCATCAGCAGAAGCCGTTTGGGCGCCAGATCTCAAGGGCCACCCGCCGTAAGTAAACACTGAAAAGTACCAACTATAGTATATAATCCATTATTTGCATTAAACAATGCATTTTAATTAGCCCATCCCCGGCAACTGCAGCGCCAGCAAGTTGCCAACTTTGCTGCAATCCATCGGAAGTTGCCGCAACCAGTGCCACACCCACACCCACTGCCACGCCTTGTCCGCCCACTTTGGGTGGTCACGAGACGATCCCACTGCTCAGTGCCATGGTGCTCAAGGCGACAGCTGGTTAAGTTTTTAATTAAATCGCTGGCATAATTAATAAAGATGCGCATAGAGAGTCGGGCAAAGTGTTGCATACTTTTGGGGCTGGTCGATCATGTGTGTGCATTGGTGGACGTGCATATGTGTGTCCATTGAATTTTCATCTATACGCCAGCAGCAGATGTTCCACATTCAATTTTGAAAAGGGGATAACGACTTTCAGGTACTGTGTAATTTTTAATTGGAAAGGGGGCTACTGGTGGGTGGAAATATTGAATACTTTTACTAAAAACTCCAATACAGTTGAACCCCTTAATAGCTATTAATAGCTAATTAGCTTTAGCTAACATTTATAGTCCTTTTTTAGTCTAAAACAAATAGTTTTAGAATCGTTCATTGCATTCATATGTAGTTTTTTTAATCCCAGTCATATAGTGGAAAATAATTTACTTTCAACGAAAATAACTATAAGCGCCAGCTTTACCATGATTCAAGTTTAGGTTATTTTTTCACTATTTGTTTTTATTTAGTCCCAGAGGAAATTCCTTACTCGATTTAGTTGTCAACCTTTTGCAGCGCGGAAACTTCCCGAACAATATGTGACTTATCTGTCATCGTGTCTCCACCCGCCAGTGGTGCACACTGAACCTGAGCCACCGAGGTCCTCAACCCACCAGGATCTGTTCGAGCTGTCACAGAACTCAACATAAAAGTAAAACATGCAACTGAAAACAATTTCTAAAAATATACGTACGACCGTATAAAACATGCAACACGAAAAAACCGCACAAAACACTTCATGTTGAGTGCGACTCGCAAATTGTGGGGCGTCTGTGTGAGTGAGCTGCACCACCGCAGAAAAGAAGCAAAATAATAAATAAAAATCCACAAAATGTATGTGTTATGCCCTATGTGCTATGAGCTATGTGTGGCGGAGCGATGAGTCTGCGGCGGAGTGTTTTTTGCAAGTGTTCGAGCGGGAAAATGAAAGTGCTGAAGTGTCGCCCATTGTTTGTTATTTGTTGTTTGTCCTGTCAACGAAGCAGCTGCCTGCATTTGCATTGCCCGCAAAGGAGTTGATGACCGGGATGCTAGGCGAACGGGCGAGGGATGAGGTCTGCAATCGGAGAGATCTTTAGGGTTCTTGGGGGTTTCCCAAGGAAATTTTAGTCCTAAGAAAGGACTCCTTAAGGCTAACTGAATCTTAAAACAGTTTTTTATTATTTGTGCATTGCATTTTAATCGCAAGTACAAGACTACAATTTTGAGACACTTAAGCCAAACAGATCAAAGCTTATTATCTTTACTTAGTACTTTAAGCTTTGTTGGTACATTTATAAAGATATCTATGATTTATACGAATTAATGACTTTTCAAGCATAATTTAGAACACCTTTGGTCTTAATAATTTAATTAATTATTTTTATTAAAAAACTGTGACAATAAAATGGTGAAATAAAAGCAATCCCTTTTACAGAAGCTTCCAATTGTTCCTTACGCAGTTAACCTTTCAATACAAGTCAAAACTTTAATAAATTTCGAAAAGTATAAAATTGTGTACTGGAACATGTTAAAGAAGAACTTTTCAAAATTTGTGTTCAACTACCCGTTCGCTGTAGCTTTTGACAATAAAACTGAAATTGGACTGGATGTGCCTGTGGCCCGACCCTTTGACGTCTTGCAGATGTGAGTTGAAAGGGCAGGGGGCTGAGGGGCTGAGGGGCAGAGGGGCGTGGGGGTGGGTCCTTTGTTGTCATCGGCACTTTAGTATCCATTTTATAGGGCCCCATTCGAGGGCTGTTATTTCATGCACGCATAATCAGGGAGCGTGGCTAATTAAATTCTAAACATTCGCCAGCATCAGCGCACTAAAAAATGTTTTATATGGCTAGAATCTAGAACCCTATCCTCTATTTGCACTACCCTTACCCCCATCCCAACCTTCATTCCAATCTCGAGCTGGTGCTTTGTAATTGCAGATCCCGGACTTCGTACACGCCCCTATGCAAATGGCACATAGCTGCTGTTTCTGTTGTTGCTGCCACTCCACTAAGAAAATTTATTGTTGCTTTGCAACAGATTAATATTTTTAAGTTCTAACCAAATACCTTTTCACTGTTGATAGGGTTACAGTGTTTTATTTCTTGAATATAGATCTTAAAATTAAATTTTAGATTCACGAAAGATTCAGGGGTAGTAGTATAAACAATTACTCACAAATGAAATTACTAAATAAATACTATTTTTACTATAAATGTATGTAGTATCTTGTTCCTTAATATTTATTTCGATGTTCTGTTCATAAAATCTGAAGTCTTTGCTTCGGTGGTGGCTTAGTTAAATGAGTATTTTGCACTTATTTTTTTTTTTGAGTGTTTTGATGTTGCTGCTGCTGCTTCGTGTTGTTCTCTTTATGCCCATCTGCAACCTCATCTCATCTCGCGCTGACGGCTTTTGAACTGCCTTCGTTTGTTGTCGTTCTCGTTGTTGTTGTCGTTGTCGTTGTCGTACTCTAAATTAACCGTTTCGTTACGTCAGCGCTGTCTTTTGTGCGTTGACAGAAGCGATTGTTGTTGCTGCCGAGTGAGTCCTGGCATCCCCTGCATCCCGGCATCCAGGCATCCTGGAGTCCCTGAGTCCTCGAGTCGTCCTGTTTAGTTGCAAGTTTGTATGAGGCAGCCGTGCGTGCCCGGGCTCCTGGCAATTGGAGCAATCAGGCAGCTCAACTCAGCTTTTTGGCCCGCTTGCAATCGCACACCCCCGGCACTCAGCCGCACTCAACTGGCGGAGTAGTTCGGAGACAGTTGGCTTTGTCTTCTCAGCTGGGTCCTGGCACCGTCCTGATTGGCATTTACAATTAGCGAGTGGGTAAACAGAGAGATGCTGCGAGAATGCTCCAAGTACTGCTGGTAAAATAAACGGAAGCCCTTTTTCGGGGATCGTGGACGCAAGCACCCTTGTAGATTAACGTTAATCTTTTATTGCATAGGATATTGGATTTAGAAACCTCTTTTTTCCAAAAAGGATATAAATAAGTATTGAAAGGGGTAAAGTATTCAAAAAACTTTCCCTTTATGATTACCATAAGTCATTATAAGACAACTAAAAATCCTAAAAGTATGGAAGGAATAATGCTCACGCACACACACATGTAGGTAAATTTGTGTGGGTATGTGTGTTTGTGTGGCAATGGAATAATGTACTCTTAATTTGTTATGCGTGTGTGATTAATGATCCATGCATAACGTTAACTTTGACTCATTACACCTGCTGATTTATCGCTGTCAACGGGTGGTCCACAATGTCACCTCGCTTTCCTCCCCCTACCCGTCATCCAACCACGCCCCGTTCCGCCCACCATAACGCACACAAGTGCACACAGCCATTACAGGCACATGGAAATGAATTTTGAATTGTGATTCGGCCACTTTCGCTTAATCATTTCGCAATTAGCCGGCATTGTTAGGGCATTTGCATTGATTTATTGACGTTGTCGCAAAGATTGCGCTCCGTTCGATTTTCCCTATTGGCATTTTTAATTTTCCCATTTTCCATGTCAATTAATTTTCCACTACAGCACGCCAGCATGGAAAATTGACAAATAATTAAGCTTTACTGCTGCCGCTCTGACGTTTCCGCTTTTCCCGTTTTTCTTATTTATTTTTGCTGCTTCTTTCTTTCTTTTTTTTGGTCTTTGGAAAGTGTGTAGACTCAGTCTTATCGATGGAAATGCAAGTAATTAATGGGCGTGGCAGCGTGTCCCGCCTGCGCTAATGACCCATATTATGAGGTTATTACTGCAGTCCACTTGTCTGCATGTCTGCGCGTCTGAGATTTCGCGATTGCAAGTGCATTTGTGATGACATTTCGAATGTGTTAAGTAATTGCAAAAGGCTTCGATGAGTCGTCGAAACCAAAGACTGCGGGAAGTGGGAAAGCACTCATCCGCGGAGGCTGATGAACTGCAGTTAATTGAAGTCTATTTGGGTTGATGGATGGTCTAATGGTCGGATGTTTGGGGCCACTCTGAATAAGCAACGACTGTGTGCCCGGGGGAGTGGGTCTTAATTAGGGTATTAGGTAGACAAACGACCGGGCCTTCGATAACAAAAGCCAGATTACGCGTGCAAGATCGGATTGATAGATTGGTTTCAAGTCAGGTTAAAATAAGAATCAGGGAGGGGCATGTCGAGATCTAAAAAGTACCTCCATTTAAATTTAGTGGCTATCTCATAAGCAACGGAGAACTATTTTATATATATTTACACAGTTTACATTTAGCATTTTAATTACTGCAATTAATATGTAAATTTTTTTTCTGTTTTACTCCTTTTACTTGTGCACATTATAATTGCTCTCAAAAAAAATGTTTATTAATGCTGTCTTTAATATATATATTACATAAAGTATGATTTGTAAACATATTGAAATCAATTTTTATGCAATTGCATTTATGCACATAATATATTTGAATAACAGTTTAATCAAACATTTTCATCTACTTTATAATAAACTAATAAAAAAAATTCTAAATGAAGTGTATATCTTTCAAAACCTTTAAGATTTTCAAAACAAGAATTTGTTCATAGTTTAAATTTTCAAACAATTTTAATAAACATAATTTAATACAAAACTAAATATTAAATTTATTTATGTAGTAATTAAACTGTGTTTAGCAACCGTATTGTAACCGTAATTCCCCCGTATTGTAAATCAATTTGATTACAAATTTTAAAAAATTTTAATAATTATGGGGGTTTGAGACTGAATATTTAATTTATTTTAGTAGTAATTAAATTGTTTTTACCGATCTTTCCACAGTTTAACCAGAAATGCCCCGTTTTGAGGTGACCCTGCGCCAAGGGGCAGCCTTTGTGGCGCTGTACGTGTTGCTGTTGGCCGCTCTAGTCCGTCCGCAGATGAACTTCAACATCTTCGTGGACACGTTCTTCCTGGGTGTGAAGTACTCGGCGGTGATGGTTCTGAGCTACCGCTTCGACACCTTCATGGCCGTGGCCGCCGCTCCACTCAGTGCGGCTACGGTTTATGCCCTTTCCAAGTGGAACGAGCCACGCGAGAATCCATCCGCCCAGAAACTGGTCATCATGGGCGTGGTATCCGCCTATATCCTGGTGCTGGTGGCCAATTTCCTGGCCAACGGCATAGTGATCCAGCAGGCCCTCATCCGCTTCGACCAGTGTCCGTATAGGGCGTGGTACATGTACGGCGAGATGGCGATGTCCTTCGTCAAGTCCATGGCGACAGACGTTCAGGAAATGATCACCCGGCAACACCATCGTCGTCCTCGGCTGATATATCGAATTCATTAGCAAGGCACCCATTGTCAACGCCCAAAATTAATTTGTTCCTAGGCTGGACATTATCGCACAAATGTATTAAAGAGTTTGTAAATGTTATTCATAATCATTTTTTGCTGGCTTTACATTTTATTTGCATGATTCTAAGCTATAAATTTGGCTTATCAGCATTTTTTTTCTTATATATAGTTAAAAGAATTTTTTAATATTTTAGTAAATTTTAGTCAATTATGCGAATTAAAAATGTTCGGCTTTTTGGAGCATCTGCAAAATTCAAACAAATATGTATTAATTAAACCAAAATCGTAGAAGGTCTGAATTAAATTCTTGTGCACTAATTTAAATTTTTCCAGAAGCTAAGTATTTAAAGCAAAGCTTAAAAAAGCAAAGCTTTTTAGCTTGAAATTAATTTGCCTATACTCTAACCTGGTAAAATGCATCACAATCAGCTACATTTTCAAAATTTAATGCTGCCTCATAAACTATTTCAAATAACATTTTCCATAAATCATTATTCAATATTAATTTTAACCTTATCCTTGTTTATATTGTTTTATGGAATGGCAAGGCGTCATAATCAAGGTAAGTACGAGTAAATTATTGCGAGAGGTGATTATTTATCGGCCACAGTGACTTTATCTGGACGTAAGCAGGAAAACAATGAACCCGATGCTCAAGTCTGTCTGAGGTTTCCATTTGACCAGCGACCAGATGCCGGTGATTGGATTGTGGGTGACGGACATGGGGTGCTGGATGGTGGGTGGTCAGTGGGTGGATTGTGGGTGGCTTGTAGGTGGCTTGTAGGTGGGTCGATGTCAATGGCAAATGATGTGCACAGTTTGTTGTGGTCGAATGGCATATTAGATTTAATGCGATTTGCATTCGCCGCTGCCTGCATCGATAATGATGCAATGCCCCAGGCGACACTTGGCTGTTTGGTTTGGTTTGGTTTGGTTTGCCAGTTAGGATAGGGAATGGGGGATTGAGGATTGTGGAATTGGGAAGCAACGTTTGTCTAGGAAACCGCAGGGTCGGCGAAGTGTACTTCGATTTTCCAGGGGGACGAGGGCTTGTCTGGCGAGTAAGTAATTTTGTGGTTATATTCCGGGGCACGTTGCTTTGAGGCTTCCAATTCGATCGGTGTTGTGGCGTTGGCCTTTGGCAAATAGTTAAGCGCAAACACAAACTCCTGTCTGAAATAATTGAAATTTTATGCGAGGCTTAAGCAAAAGTATTAAATTCAAACTCTGACGCAAATTCCCAACAAAATGTTTTACATATATTCCCGCAAAAAAAACGAAAAAAAAACACACTGTTTTCTCTGCTGCTCGAAAGCATGTCTTTGATCTCCAAAACATGTGCACAAAAATGACAAAACAAAAAGTACAAAATTAAAAACGGGCCAATTTACACACAAAAGGGAAAACGAAAAGCCAACAGAAATAAAAACTTTGTGTATATTCACGTATGCAAAATACAAATTGCAAACAAATTAAACGAAACGAAATGAAATAAAATGTAAGTGCTTAAAACAAAGCTAAATGAGTTCTGACGTTGCTGGAGGCATTAAATATTTCCCCAAAAAATCCGAGAAATGCTGAAACCAGAGACAACGGGTTTCCCCGAGACACTAAAACTTATTTATGCCTTCGTTTTTATCGAGGGGGTGGCCTGCTGTCTCTTTCTGGACCTCCCCCCCCTATTCCCTCTCTTTCTACGTTCACGAGCGTGTGCGCTTGACATTCCAACCAAAAATATAAAACATTGGAACATGCTAATTTATTTTTGAACTGCGGGAAATAACATCGATGTTGGCTGCCACCAACTTCCCATCGAACTCTGTAAATAAACTGTGGTTAAACCCAAATGACCATTCCGGCTTAGCCTAAGATATGTGGAACGATTTGTCTTTGATTCCATATGGCAAGTCATCATATATGACGTTTTTTTGGGGCTCTAGACTTCCCAAGTAGTCACAAGACATCAGATAAAAATATGGCTATAAAATAAACAAGAAACTGTTCTAACTAGAATAATTTTATATTGCTTTTTATTAAAAGAGGAGCACTAAAAAAATCAAAATTTGACAGTATTAAAGTATGGGTATTAGTTCAAAACTAAATAATAAAACCTCTTTACTTTTCGGTTTCATTTCTATACCGCAGAGTCTAAAACTGTAGTCTTGGGTCTTATTTTTAAACCACATAAGATTAAGTTTGACAGTTTCGTTGTATTCATTTAATACTCATTTTATTTTTATACCCAATAGTTTAAAATCAATGAAAGAATATATTAGTTTCTGAGTACATTTTTCTTTGGGTGTTGTTATTAATTGAACATTTGAAATTTTAAGTTAATAATTTTTCTTCAAAAAAGACTAAATGCTGAAAAATTAACATTAATTATATGTATTTAATGAGAATTTAATATAAAGATTATAAATTCTTTGTATTTATTTGTTTATGGCATAAGTGCTACAGTATTTGTAATACAATTAAATTAAGTGCCTGTCCAAAATTCCCTACAAATCTTTCAATATTTTATTTTCAATGAATATTTGTTGGACTTGTAAAATACAGTTACTGGGTATCAATTAATCGAGCAGTACCCAAGTCTGGCTTAGGTTTTCCTAACTCTTATCTTAAGTGATCGTAAAAAGCCGCCAATTAAAAGAGCACACTTTGAAGTGCGTTCTAATTCGTTTTTGTTTTATTTGCGAGCTCAACAGAGCTACCTGTTTGCATTGGATTAAGATATGATCTCGGGGAAACGAGCACTGAGGTTCAGCTTTCAAAAGGCACTGCCTGGGATTTTCCCGATGGGATGTGGCGAAATGTTATTGAACCGAGCCGCAGGATTATCAGTGTGCTTTCAGGAGGTGACAGGAGGGTGACTGAAATTGAAATGTCATATCGATGCGAGGCAATAAAAAGCAGTGATTGATGTGCCAATTTGTAATATGCCAATTAACATATCCTCTCCCCGACTCAATTACTTTAAAAACCCAAGTTCAGTGGTACAAAGCGAGTGCAATTAATATTTTTATTACGTATAATTTGTATTAATTGCCGCGCTCGTTCCATGAATCATCCCATCAAATGTGTGTCAACGCGAGCGCCTCATAGTCCATCTCCATCTCCAGCATCCCGTCCAGATTTGCATTTCTTTTGTATCCAGTCAGTGCCTGACGCCACAAACCCGCTTCAAAGCCGCTTCAAAGCCGCTGAATCTCCGGCTTTCCTCAGGTGTTCCTGACCTGTGCTCCTCGCCTCAACGTGTGTCACTCACTCCGCGAACCTCAGATTCAGATTCAGATTCAGCATCGGTATCAGTATCAGCCTCAGCCTCAGCCTCAGCATCACCATCGCCATCAGAAATCAAAGTTTCGAAACCGGATTTGCATGCCAATAAAGCCGAGGCTGGCAAACAAAACAAAACAAATCAAACGAAACGAAATGAAATGAAATTCTTTCGGCTTTCGCCTGGCTTTTTGCTTTAAATACAAAATCGCACGGCTCAGAACATTAGACTGGTTTAAGAGCTCGAATTAAGCGCACTGACGGGGAATAAAGTCAGACGTCAGCCGAAAACACATAAAGATCCTCCAGCAAATGTGAACAAGCAACCAAAGTGCTAAAATTAAACTCAATTTAATTTAATAGAATCATTATCGGTGTTTATACTCGTATATTAAAAATGGCTTGCAAATATAATACACAAATGGTAAGCATTTAAAGTGTATACATAACATTTTTGACCCCTAGTATATTAAAAATACAAATTTGACTACTCACCTTCAAATTAAAATGAGTATCTCGTATGTGTCCCTTAAAAAATAATATATTTCTTTAAAGTTATTAATTTAAAAGGATTTAAATTTATTTTAAATGTACTTGCAAATGTTTTCAAAATCAGTTTTTGCTACCTAAACTAAATGGATTAATAATAATTTGTCATTAACATTGTCTTAACATTAACATTAATGAAATTGTATTGGAATCTTTTAGTAAAATTCCAAATTAAAGCAGATTGAATACAAATTTTGTTTTTCTAATATTTATGGGAACCATTTTGTAAATTCAGTATTAGCACAGATTGTCTTGATGAAAAATTCTTTTTTATAAGAAAACATTTCTTTATAATATTTATCTTGTCTTACATTTAATAAAGATCCTGCTCAGCTGCAGTTTGGCTGTAGTTTTGAGTATCTCGGAGGCACTTCCTCGATTCAGTCGCACCAAGGATCTGGGCACCGCCGCCAGTTCCCCCAGTTTCGCCTATGCCCCCAGTCCCCAGAAGCCAATGACTCTCACTGGGAACTACAACCTCATCATGCCCGACTATTATGACCATCATCCCGCTGAGTCGATGCAGCTGCAGAACTTTGCCAACTTCTATGATGCCCAGTCCGAGTCCGAATCTGATCTAGGCATGGAGGAGTCCCAGTTCTTGGCCAACACTCCGGTGAGACCTCCTCAGCCTTTGAGTCCTCAGGAGAAAAGGGCACGCCAGCAGGTGCCACATGTGGACATCCACCGGGAGAAGCAGGCTCTTCGCAAACTGAAGAAGGGCAGCACCCAGCCCAGGGGAGCCGATCACCAGGAATGGGACCAGTTCGACTACGACCTGTACAGCATTAATCCAGGCAACGGCAAGAAGTACAACTACGACATCTAGACGGCATTCCCCGCTAGATTGACTGTATATGTTTATGTTTTTGTTTCCTCTCGGTTTAAGCTCACAAATAAATTATTTATTTATTGTTAACTGCACTCAGATTTTCGTCATTTCGATTGGAATGCTGCTCAAGCCACTTTTTTTTGCTGCTGCCATCTAATTTTATCTAATTGGCCCAAAAACCATTAGCATTCACTTTATCGCCGAAAGCAGGCCAATTCTGGAGAGCGTAAACAGTGATGGTACTTGAGTGGATATATTAAGCTAGGTTTGTATGTTTTTAAATAATTAATATTATATCTGATAGAAATATAATTCCATTTCAAAAACATATTTGTTTTATATATAAATAAGTTTTTGTAATATAAATTTCATCAGAAAATATGTTTAAAATTTTAAGAACTAAGAACCTGATTAATTTGCAAAAAAATTCACTAATATCAAAAATAATTTTCATTAACCAATCTCACTTGATGGGCTAGTAATTAAACAACGTTTATGGCTTTAAAACTTCTTCATCAAAAATCCTTAGATATTCAATTATTTAGCAAACAGCGAAACAATTGATTTCAAATAAAAAATGTTGGTCAACTTAACAGTTTTTGTTCCACAGTCTTTAACCTAAATATTGGCACATTAAAAACAAACATTTATCTTTCCTAAATTGGAGACAAATGTGTTACTAGTATGAATCAGTTAAGAAAGGAATTGTCGTAATTCTTCTTAAACATTTCTAGTCACTTTTGTTGACCAAAAATGATTTAAAAATTCAAAATAAAATTGTGCGGGTGGTCGGAATACAATTTATCGAAACCTTATAAGGAGAAAAGGCATTTTATGAATTAAGTGACATAAACTTAAACAAACTTTGTTGTTTTACGTGCATACAGGTATATTTCGTTTAAAGATTTTTGGACTTCAATCACTAACTAAAAATTGAATTTCTTAAAATATTAAATTTTTTTTGCAGAAAAGCATGTCATGTTATTTTTATTGCATACAGCTATAATGCGTTTATAGATTTTTGGACTTCGTTTATTAAACTAATTAAATTCAAATGATTTTTTTAAGAAATTTCACTTTATTGCTGATCCAAGAGAATCCGCTTGAGTTCCTCGATCCTCTCGGAAGAGGGCTCAAAGAACGAGCTGTCCACCTGGATTTCCTGGTGGCTGTAAATACGACGCGGTTGGGGGCGATTGGCATGGTAGGTGGCCAGGGCAGCGGCGTGATCGGTCTCCTCCACATTTCCGCAACCTTGGGATGGATGATCTGGGTACACACGTGGCTTCAGGCGATGTTTCCTGGGACGACTGACCGCCTGGATTTCCTGCAGCTGCTCACCCGATGGTATTCCATATGCATAGCCATCATCTGCACCAGTCAGCACCAGACTCAATGTCACTCCAAGCATCACCATCTAACGTAGGGTTAAGCATTTGATGTCATAACCTTGAAAACAAGTTATGCTTTGTTCCGAAAACTGATCAATGATTACCAGAAAAGTTAGCAGCAAACTCGTCTTCATGATTCTCCGATTCGGATTCTAAATATGTCTCTTCACTTCGGGCTCCAACAACTGACTAACTTGCAGAATCTGGTTTCCATCTGTTAATGCCCTTAGAACCTATTATGAAAATATGCAAACGATAGTGACATAATCTAAGCATGAAGAGGAACCAGTTGTTTGTTAGCTCTTTTTATTGTGTGAAATATATAAACAATTGGCGATTTGTTTGCAACATATGCAGGGCACACAAAGAGAAATTGGGTAAACTTTATTTTCACTTAACTATAACAAAAAGTCTAAGTAATCAAATTACTCGCAAAACATGTTTTTTTTAATTTTAAAATTTGTAAAACACAATTTGTTTTTATGTTAATGTAGCATATATCCTGATAGTAGCTCGTTCGATGCCTTTGCTGTACCAGGAGCTATAAAAAGCGTAGTCCCCTGGTGGAAGTGGCAGAACATCGGTGAAATGCTGATTAAGAAATTGGGTAGGAAGCTTGTCTATATACAGATCGTGCTGCAAAATACATTTAATTAATTAAAAAAAAAAATAAATATTTTAAATGTAAACTCACATCATAAGGACATTTGTGGTTGACGTTGGTGTAATTTTTCGAGATTTTCTCAAAAAGCTTAAGCATGGGATTTCCAAAATGCTTTTTAGTCTCCATATATTTGCATACATCGAAGGTGATGTTCATGGTTATGGGCATATAGGTCCGAAACCTCTTTAATATCTGTAGGTTTGCCTAAGGAATGTAATTTGAGTAAAGGGATTTTGTTTGGAAAATGTAGTTATCTACCGATGCATTTTTAATCGGTACTTCATGCAAGTTTGCCTTCAAGGATATGTATTTATAACTCCGATTTACAGATTTGATGTAACAATACTCGAAATCCAAAAATTTGTTTTCCCTTGAATTGCATTTAATATTGGTGAACTCAACTTTGGAATCGATCTGAGGGTAAGTAACAATTACTAACTTGTAAATTCCATTTATTCTTATTTCCTTACTTGTGTTATATTAATATAGAATATTACGAGCAAAAACAACAAAACTCCTTTAAAATACATTTGTGCTCTTCAACAAGTCAACGTTAACTATCACCATTTTGACATTTAATTTGGTTTTCGCCAAAAATTGTTAATGAGATTTATATTGTTTTTAAATGCTATAATTTATTGATCCGAAAACCGTTGATATCTGTGATTAACATGCCTCAGTTAGCACGATTAATGAATTTTTAAGTGCTGTTGCGAATAACGATACAATACATATAATTCCTTATTTAAATTTAAGTAGTGAAGAGGCTATAATTTGAATCTTTACATATTAAAACCTAAAAGATTAAGAAACATTTGATACATTTGAGTTTTGTTTTGATTCCTTTGCGTTGGGAGTAATTTGTTACAAATACTGATTTCCATATTGTTTGGCGCATGTTTCAAACATTTGCATATACGCATAAGCATATGCATTTTTAGATTGACCAATCGACCTGTTTAATTTCTTGCTGTGCATTTGATTTTGCCTAATTAGCATTTGATGGCCTGTCCATACGCAATCCCACAATAAAATATCACCATCAAGCCGATTGAGCAATAGCCAACAGGTTCAGTGAATGAAATATCTTCTTTTCCCATATACGTATACTTTTGGGCTTGTTAAGTAAATCAGTCGCCGAATCGGTTAACATTTGATGTTTTAAAATTTAAACTTCGAACGATTTATTTACAACAGTCAACGTAACTGGCAACTAAGTAATAACAACTAATAAATTCGATGTGAAATTCGGTGAGTGTTTACAGAAAGATTGAGAGGGGGGGGCTTAGTTGTAGGGATATCTGGAGAGGATCTGCTCCTGGCGCTCGAAGGTGCGTCGATTCTTTGGTCGCAGTTGTCCCTGAGGATTGACGGCAGCTCCGACGGGCACATAGACCACCGGGCTCTTGAAACAGCCCTCCACACGGGGCTGCGTGGAGGCCCTGGCCGTCTGGAGCACCTTCTGGTGGCTGTCGTCCACCTGGCCGGGATTCAGCTGCTTCTGCTGGCACTGTCCGCCACCCGGGCAACTGGTCACGAACCTCTGGTAGTCCCTGGTATCACCCGGCACAGTCTGTTTGTAGTCGTAGGCATCCAGTTGGGAGCTCTGCGACTGACCCACCTGGTCACCCACTCGCGTTTGTGGCTGTGCCGATCCCGTGGCCTGTAGCAGCTGAACCTGCACTTGGCTGGGGGCCACTCCGGAGCCATGTCCTGCGTCCAGGACCTGTTGACCCGAACCGGTGGTTACCGGTGCATAGGGATAGGGATTGCCGAAGAAGAGTTTCTGGGCAGGCTGCTGGGGTGGCAGATAGGTAGCTGGAGCTTGGGTTTGCTGTTGAGGTGGTGCTTGGTAATTGGGAGCCTGGAGTTGCTGAGATTGCTGAGCTGGCTGTGTTGGCTCATAGTAGTTTAAGGGCTGGACAGGACTAGCAGGAACAGGTGGAGGAGCCTGGTAGCTGGTGCTGACCAACAGCGGATTCTGGTAGCTAGAGGTGTGCAGATGCTGTTGATGATGATGATACTGCTGCTGCTGCTGCTGCTGATGATGATACTGCGGCACCTGCCGCTGCTCCAAAACCTGGACAATCTGCGTCTGATGATCCTCGAAAACAGCCGGAGCCCTTTGCGTTTCCAGGCCGTAAGTGCGGCCCAAAGTCTGCACCACAAACCTGGTGGTCTGAGGCTGCCGCCCAGCTGTTTCCGCAAAAAAGGGGGTCTGCGGTCGCTGGTAATGGTACTCCTGGCAGCCAACCAAAGTCAGCTATATGTTGAATAAATAATCCATTAAAGAGGTTTATCCTTTTGAAAATCCCTTGGTAAACCCACCATCGAGATGAACAGCCAGAGGGAGGGCATCTTGCTTGGTTTTTGGACACTCGGCGCGTTGTGGACTCTTCGCCGGCTGGCAGCTAAATGATCTCCGGCGGGGCAGACACCCGCAAAGCCAACCCGCCAGAAGATCACTACAGAAACGGGTTTTGGTTTTGGTTGGGGGCAACTCGTCGCTTCTGCCGCCGACTGCCTTTGATTTGCTGTAACAGTTTGAACACATTTCATAATTTCTTTCCCGTTTATTGTCTCTGCATCGTTTATTTTTCCATCTGTTTACCTTTTTCCCGCTCCAACACTCCGACACTCGACCAATCGTTCGCTGCTTGCGGCATCATTTGACTATCACTCACGCAAATTTTGTCATAATTAAAGTGCCAGCTCGGCTACTCGGACTGCTCTTCATTGTCTGTCTGCATTTCTCCGCGCACTTGGAAAAAAAACACAAAAAACAAACCGATCTTGATTGTTAAAAACCAACTTAAAGAGTTCTTCAGAAAAATGTTCAATACAACATCATATAATGGCTAATTTCCATAGCCATAAGTAACAAACTGAAAAACATTTTCTGGGCCTGGTTTACAAAACTGTATTTCTATAGACAACTTTTTGGTACAGAACTTTATTTAAAACATTAATATTTGAAAACAATTTTAAAATTTTAAAAATGTCTCAAAATGTTAAAAAAGTTATTTAAACAAAAGTAAATCAGTAAATTATGGCCAACCAAAATATTTACACTGCATAATTTTTATTATTTTGATTTTCTAATAGATTTCGGTGCGCAGATCTCTTAAATCTTTTTGAAAGTTTACTTATTACTTTTCATCGAAATTTTTTGGTATTTCTGATGACTAAATTTAAGCAAGAAACTATATTTTTTTCAAAGTGTTGAGGACCGTGAAAATATGCTCAACCTTTCCGCTTTTAGCCACTTCAGTTCGGTTCGCTTCGACCAAGTTATATGTAATTTAATTTGCTTCGCATCATTTGGCCGGGCTTTCTGCGAAGCGAGTTATGTTTTTTGAGCTCGGCGAAAAGTAAAAGTTGGATCTTGGCTCAAATACGCAGGCATACTACTCACATATATGAATGTTTGTATTTAAAGCTGAATTTGCAAACGACTTGCCCAAGTGGCTAACTATAAAAATCGCATAAACCGAGTTTAAATCCATTTTGGGTGCAGTTCCTCAACAACTCAAAGTAATTTGATTTTCCATAAGTGTTGATCTCTTGATGTACACCATACAAATAGAACGTGATTGTGTGCGATGTGGGAGATATAATGCCTCTTTGATTGCTGGCAATATGTATTCATTAAAGGAGAAGAGAAACTGCCTTTTTGATCGGCTGTATTGTAACATTACACTGACCAGATGTTCAGATTTAGCCCAATCTTTCATTGTCGTTTCGCACATAATTAGGCTGACCAGACGTATTCATAAATAAGCAATAAGCCAGTTGATTGGCTGGCATCGATATGTTGCAACACCCATTCGACCGGATTAAGCGATTGACACGCACCAGAAATGTTTCAGCTCTGGAGTATTAAAGGAAGCCAGACTTTGATATTTGCCCTGTGGTGACATCGCCTTTGTTTCTGCGTTTCCGTTTGACAATTGCACGCATTCAGCATTCGCCATTCGCCTGCAGCACAATTCCCTGGCAATTGCCTTCGTCCTGCGTCCTTCGTCGCTTCGTCCTTTGCCGTGGCTCTAAACGCGGGCTAACGTCAATCAAAGACGCGCCCTGTTAAATGCACTTGACTGCCACTTGACACAGCAAATGTTGCTGGCATTGCGTCGGCGTCAAACAAAACATCTTGGCAAGCCAACTGCCAACACTTGACATTCGCCATGAATGCAGCGGAGATCACAGAAAGCAGCAGATCCTGGTGGGGGAGGTACACGTAAATAATGTTGTAACCTTTCAATTTAGATTTTAAATCGAAGTCAAAGAAGTTTTAAAACTGTTCGCCTTTACCCTCTAAACCATTTTGTTCAAAAGTATTTTATGTGATTTATTTGTGGATAATTGTTACAATATATCTTTAACATTTAACAACTTTAAAACACTACAAATATAGTATATATAAAAATAGTCCGTTTTAAAATTAAACATCATAATGAATTATAAGTAATAGGAACCTTTTATAAAGAATTTTAACATAACAAATTAAAAATATATAAGGCACCATAAGTTCAGAATTCAAAAATATTTTTAAGTTTGCACTCAATTTGTTTTACATACTATATATTAACAAACTATGAACTCTATTTTTTTTAAATACCTTTAATTTGTACCTCTACTTCAAAACTTCCACAGACAAACTTTATAATTGTACAAACAAGTTTTAATGGGGTTTATTGCTAGCTTTAATTGTTAAGAACATAAATTATGCCACACATTAATTTCCAGTGTAAGCACGCACAAAACGCGGGCAGCTGTCACAGATGGAGATGCAGATACCGAGACGCGGTGGCTTATCACGCTGACACGAGAGCAGGAGGCGCTTCATAATGCAAGTGGCCAATGCTGCGTATACGCAATCTGCTGCAGTCAAGCCTTTTAAAAGGGTGGGTGGTTGAGTGGGTGGTGGATGGTGGGCTGGCAGATTGGTGTAGTGGCCTCTCCATGTGTAGTGTGAGTGCGTCTGTGAGTTGTCTGTCTTTGCAGCCTGTTTGCATTCATTGCAGTCATGCATTCAGGGTTATGAGCCCCAGCTAAAGTTGCATGCAACCTACGAGCAGATAGAGCACGTGCATTTCATTCGGCAGCATGTGTGCGTGTTCTTTCAGTTTATTTTTCACCATGCAAAGCGTCACTTTAGACACCTGCCTCAGTGTGTGTGTGTGTTTGCTAGCCGCTTTGTTGCCGACTTTTGGGCTTTAGTTGCAAGCAGGGTATCTGCTTAATTAGGCACACCTGCTAGGGCAGCGTTAAATTAGTAGCAGCCAAGTTGAATGACCTTTGACAGCACAGCGAACCTTAAAAAACAAATAAAAGAAAATAAGCAAAAAAAAAAGCAAACAATGCAACAGCGTTGGAAAACTGGAAAAAAAAACCAAGAAAAATCAATTGCATAATGGCGCATGTGTTGCGCAGCACAGCAGCAGCAGCATTACAAATTTGCAACTCTCTTTCCATTTGCACGTTGCAAGACAAAAACAAGAAGAAAAAAATAAAAATTCAACCACCACTTCAAGCGGCGATTTCTGCCATATTTTTTTTTTTCTTGTTTTTTAACTGTCGCAGACAAACACATTCAAAAGCGGGCGTAGACATGTGTGTTTGGCAGCTTTTGTTTGCACCCGCATAGGAAGCCATTTAAGTGCGGCTTCTTGAGAAAATTGCAGCCAGAGCGGATAGAGAAAGAGCTAGGGACAGCGCTATGGAGAGATTCAGGCCCGTCGAGGACGTCACTAACGAGCAGCCACCCAAACCACCCAAACCACTCACACATCCCATAATTAACAGGAGTCAGATCAACAGACACGGCAACGAGAGCTTAGCTCCCTTGTGTGGGGCCTATCATTTCCTAGGCAGACAGGAGAAAAAAAATACTGAAAACCCAAAGGGTTGCGAAGCCCGCTTGGTGCAAAAGCCTTTGGCTTGTTGGTCGACTCAAGCGCCTTAATAGGCTTAGCAGCGAGTCAACTATCAAAACAAGGCCGATAAAAGTTGAGCCCCAGTCCAGCGCACAATGCCTGCCTGATATACGACGAGCATGCTATATACATATGTATATTCCCATGTGCACGGGGCTGAAGGAAAAACTTTGCCTATATGATATGCTCTTATGCTCCAGATGACGAGGTTCGGTTCGAATGCTTTGTCAACGCATGCCACATGGAATATTCATCGGTGGCTTTGGGTTTAAGGCGGGGGCGAGTTACAGGTTAAGGGGGCGTGCCACAGTTTATGGCACGTTTGTGCCACAGCCAGCTCTCATTATGTGTGTGTGTGTGTGTGTGTGTGTGTGTGGGCCACCACAAGTACGTGCCCCGGACAGCCCGTAAACAGGATTCCGCCCTGGAATCAAAATCACTCTGCTTCCCAGTCTTATGAACAACCCAACTCCTCGAGGCCTTTGTTTTCTAATTTTCCTTTGATTACAGTTTTTTTTTGTATTTTACAGCAAGACTTCGGTTCTATTATTCATCTCCAACACAGATTAAACTTTTTTTAAAATTCTTTGAATTATTTTTTGAAATTGGTAAAGAAAATTGATTTTTTTCTTTACCAATATTTTAATGCAAAAATAATAAGTTGAAAAACTTTAAGTATGCATGAAATAATTAAAAACCCTGTTTTTAATTTTTCACAACAAAAACATGACCTCGAGCTTGCAACGAAAACCATTTAAGTAATGTAAGCATTTTTTTTTTGTATCTTACATCAAGACTGATTAAAAAAAATAATTTCCACACCAAATCTTTTCGTTAGTTTTTTTGAAATGTACTCATTGTTGGTTTCATTTTGTAAATAGATAGATTGTATGTCGTTCGATGCTTTAAATTAAAGATTTTATATTCCTAGCATTCAAGCAATTTTCCAAAATGGCAACGCAAAAGCAACTATCAATTTCAATGAATTTTCAATTTTCCTAACCCAGCTCATTTGCCATTCCCCAAAAGGCTGTGGGTTCTGCAATTAATCCGATTAGTCTGCATTGCAATCTATAGATTTGCATTATTAACACTGCAATCCGTCGTAATTCCCTGATTAAGCTGCTGGGGCAGTACTGGTCCGGAGAGGCTACGGTCTAGACCCACCCACCAAGGTCGGCAGGTGTGGCGGTGGCGTCATCCTTTCCCTTTATTCGGCTGCATCAGCAATCAGTCGCCCGCTCCACGAGAAAGTTCCAGCGAAATGTTGCTGATGACAGCAGCAACATCATTCTGCAGCGGCAACGGCAACAGCAACAGCAACATCAGCATCAGCTTCCCAGATTTGTTTGCAGTCATTCGCATGTGTCATCATCAGCGGCCGAGATGATGAAGCACAAAATATGCCCAGGCTCGCTCGCAACTAAACTGACTGACTGCCAGTCTCGCTACGTTGCTACGTCGCAAAAAAAAAGGAATTAAAAAAAAATAAAAATTGCACAAGCACACAGGCAAACAGACAAATGAGGACGCCAGCGGTGACATGATAGCCTGTGAACGTCTGCCGACCGTCCTGGCGCACTTAGAAAAAAAAGTGGCTCAACTTCTAAAAAATATATCATTATATTAAAATAAAATTCAACAACTTGTTTTCAACTTTTAAAAAATACATGTAAGTATCTTACCTTTGTAAGAGCCACTACGCCTAAAAAACAAAGAGAAAGAAAAAAATTATATATAAATAAAATCTCTATTAAAACATTTCGCCTGAGTTATTTAAGCCAGTGTAGTTTTATAATCAATACAAAACAAGGCAAGTGCTTGTCATGTTGTCTGGATTTTGATTCCATTTTTTTGCTAAGTGCATAGCTGCGTTGGTCTCTGCTGTCGTGCTGCTGTCGTGCTGCACACGTTGCATTGCCGCTGCTTGTTCTCTGCTATATTTAAATACGCTGCGGGTTGCAACGTCGGCTGGCGCGGCACTTCATTTGCTTCCACAACTCATTCATGCTTTGGAGCCCAGACTGCCTGTCAGAGCCGTCTAAGCCGGGGTAAACACTCTCCGCGTACCTCCACTGCCCCTCAACCTGCCCCTGCTATTTCCCTCTCATCCTTTTTTTTTCGCCCGGCTCATGTGCCTCACCTACTTTCCGCTCTTAGGCTGAAACTGAAGCTGAAGCCTCCGCTTCGGGGTGGCTGCAGCGAGAATAAAAAAGAGAATGCACTGCTCGACGGGGGGAAAAAAAACGTAAAAAATATAAAAAGAAATAAAACAAAAAAGCTGGGAAAAAACCTCCCTCCTGGGTATCGCTTTCAACGGGGCACTTGCAACCAGCCAGTGAACCCCTCAACCCCTGCTCCGCTAGCCTCCCGTTAGCGTTAACGCCAGCGTTAATGTTCACGGCGCTGCCTTCCTCGAGGAGTTCAGTTCAGTTACTCCGCTCTGCTCTGCTCTGCTCAGCTCAGCTCTACCCGATTCTCAATTCTCGATTCTCCAACAGCGACGGCGACTGCAGAGGCAGAGGCAGTGGCAGTGGCAGTGGCAAAAACCCAGGCCCATGAGGCCATGTGGCTGGCAGTGCTGCAAACAGTACGCTCGCGTGCTTTGCATACTTTGGTTGCGTTTTTTTCACTCCGCTCCCGGTTGCCAGTTGCACAGTTGCACGGCTGCAGTTCGCCCCACTCGCCATTTCACAATCAGCCGGGCAGCAAACTGCCACTCGTCGCGTAATTTGCCCGCCATTTTGCACCTTTGCGCGTTTCCGGTGGGCAACCTCGCTTCCGGTGACCGTTTTCGCGCCCATTTTTCGCCCAGTCATTGTCCTGCCGCCAAAAAAGAAAAAAAATAGCAAACGCAGGCTGCGGCCGGAGACCACGGATCTGATGCCGTAAATCAAACGAGCGGCAATTGTGCGTGTGTGATCGGTCAGGTGCTACACCGAGAGAAAGTTTAATAAAATTCCATAGTTCTATGTATGTTTTTATGTCCAAAAAAATCCCTCAATCATTTTTAAAAATAAGAAAGGATCTCTAGATATTATTAGTATAGAACAGCATACATGACTTCGATCAGAACTTAGTAAATTATAGAATTTTTGAACAGAATTTTACACCTAAGCAAAGCCAATAGACGTAATGACTAGTTTTTCCTCCGTGTAGCATTTGTCCTGCGGTCGAGTCCCCAACAAGTGGGCGGCATTGGGATTATGTCTCTGCGGGCACGGGGCAGTCGGCCAATTCCGGGCAAATGAAGTGCCGCATTATTTGATTATATAGCGAGCGACTCCTGAACCGCTTAAGTCGCGAGTGAGCGTGAGTGCGAGTGCTTGCATGTCTTGAGAGTTCCGTTCCGAACAGGACATTACGGGGCTCACCTATTGATTACGGCTCACAATGTAAGTAAATTGCGGGGTGGCGGAGTTACGGGCTCGATTCGTTGATTACTCAATCAGCGGTCAATGGGTTTAACTACCGGATTTCCGTAAGGGGAGTGGGCGCCTTAAATCTTGGGGAATTGCTAATCCTAGACTGGGCTTAATGCCGGGATTGATGCCAGATTGATGGCTCTGATTAAGTTGGTTGCCTTAATAGGCATTAATATTAATGTAATATTCCTGCAGGTAACTATGCAAATTTCAGGGCATTTTGGTCCCTACGTACTGTTGAGCTAAGACCTAAACCATATAATTTAAAATCGTTTGCCTATTGAATTTGATTATATTTAATTGAATGACTTGTTTATTTGAGCAAACATATAAAAACTGAACTATGAAGATTACAAATATTTTTAAATACTAAACAAAAGGGAGTAAAATTATATAAAATAAAGTAAAGTAGAGTAAACTATGCAATGTTTAATTATTTAAGTTCGACTTTATTTAATTGCATAACATGTTTGCTTAAGCAAAGAAATAAAGAAGTGAATTAAGAAGAATTCATCTTATGCAATATATTTGTATTACTAAGGGTAAGGACTAAAATGATACAACTAAGGTATAGCTAGAAATAAAATAAGTAATATAAATTTGTTATCATGTGTCATTAAAAACATATTAAAATGTTATGTTATTGAAATTGTGTAAAAGAAAAAGAGGCCAGCTGAGATGGCATAAATTTATACAGGGAAAAATGTATTTTTTGTAGTTGGGGCCACATTTTGTTCAACTTTTATTCAGACGGATGTTTTCAGCAACCAAATAACTAGTATTTAGTCTAATTTCTCTCTCGACTTCATTGAAATGTTCCTTAATTTGAAGCATTTTTGCTACTTAGGATGCTGCAAGTAGCACAGTTTAGGTGATGCATTTTGCACACTTTTCGAGCTTCTTGGTTTATCCCCGTCCGCCAACTTCACAACTTCACCATTTCAGAATTTGAATGGGTTTTAGTTTTGTGCGCATTTGTGCAGCATAGACATACTTGGAGCTGAATGGCACTGCAGCTGCCTGCAGGCTGGCATCTTCCTTTCAGCCTGGCTAAAAACATTCCCTTTTTGGGGCATCGCCAGCGACCACAATGAAACCGCAGTGAAGCCGAAAAAGAAAAATATGAAAAATGAGACCGCAGCTCCAGTTGGCCATTCAGGCATCTCCCTTCTATTTACACTCATTTCATTTCATCATCGGGATGAGCTGGTCTTAAATTTGCATAACAAGCGACAAAAGACCCCCGAATCGTAATTATGTGCAAACAAACGCGGCAAATGAAATTTCAATTAAAAAACGAGTGCGAGCCGGGGCATAAAAAAAGTGAAATCGAAGCTGGTCATGCATGGGTGGGGATCCGGGGGGTTGGGAATTGGACTCCCTCATTTTGTAAGGCTTCCTCTGGCCACCGCAATACGCACTGTCGGCCTGGGAAAGGGAGTTGGGTTGAGCTGAGCTGCGACTCGAAGTGCATGCCGAGTGCCAAGTGCAGTGGCAGTGCCAGGTGCACTGACATTGGCACACGAACGAGGCTGTTTCCCCTGAACCCCCGCCTTCCACCCCCTTACCCTCCCACGGACCCCCTTTTCGAGTGACTGGCGGTGCAATTTTGTTGCCAACCTTGAGGACGTCGCTTTGCCGTTTGCTGAACGCCTGCTATTCCGGAGTCAAGGCTGCAAGGGGCGTCCATGCAGGGGATCCCCACTCGTTCTCGCCGACTTGCCACCGAACTTCCCTTCTTTCTGGGTGCCCTTGATTCTAAGGGGTATATTGGCATTCAGCAGATTTTAATCATTAATACATCAAACTGATGGGGAAAGGCTTGATTTTATATTTTAAATTTTAATGGCTAGAATATCACAACTTAAAGTGTTGAAACTTGTCCTTAAAAAGGGAAGCCCAACTTGAATGCAGACAGTTTTTGCATCTGATGACCTGAACTGACAATTCTCATCATCTTATTTCAATTTGAATTTGGAATTTGAAACAAATAACAATTTATATTGTGTTTTTTTAAATTTTTGACATCAGATTTTTGCAAAACCTGTTCAAAAGTAAAAGTTTTACAGCTGTCAATGGCAAGCAAATGGATGATTTGATGATGTATGACATTATCCTTATTAAAGAGAAATTTAAATCAAAAGCAAATAACTATAGGTTTAAATGACAGCTTATTGGAAATTTTGCTACAAGCTTAACTAAACTCACATTTAGAAAATTTATGCCGACATTATGGTTTATTGTACATTTGTATATTATTACTACCTTATTACCTATACACATGGGAAAGCCACTAAAACTTTAAACAAACCATGAAATTTATTTATCTTGTCTTAAATCAGAAAAGTATTTCATAGTCGTAATGTATTTAAAAGCTTACCTACTTGCTTCGCATTTCAGTTGTTTTTATTATTTCTGTTTTTTTGAGCCAACAATGTCAACATGGCAGGCAGCCAGCAGAGCTCCAGCTACAGCTTTTCCCACTTTCTGCCCCTCATCATGGCAATCATCAGTGTGCGCGCCTTTTTGTGTGCATTGTTGCCGAGGGGTGTTAAATGGGGGGTGGCATGGGTTAAGGCGGCGGCAGGTTGCAGCGCTCTCAGTTGCCATTGCAGTTAATTGAAAATACTAAATTTCCACTGTCTAGACGGCAAATTATATGACAATTGTTAGAGCGCGCATGTTTGGCTTTCATATTAAAATTAATTACTCTGGCAGAAATTTTGCATAAAAATTTGTGTGAAAGCGATAAACAATGGGGCCATTGTCGCGCAGGTTTATATCTATTTGAGTGCATATGGAGTGTTGTTTCGGTTTAATCTTAGCGCAGTGGTTGCAGAGGAGTTGCCTATAATCCCCTTCGAAAGTTCAAAGTTGCATAATTAGAAAGCTAAGGCGATAATCGATGGTGGTAATTAGAGAAAGCGCTTTGCACATTTGTTAATTTTCACACGCTCCAGGGGTCACAATCTACTCATAATTGCTTCGCAGGAAATCTCATCTCTGTGAGGGGAAAGGCGATGACGGAGTCCAGGAAATTGCAAATTACAATCGGAAAACGTGGGCTGGCCGAACACCTTTGATCACAAATTCAGCTCACTGCACACAAACAATTATTTGGCACTTAATAAACAATGAAATTGAATATTTAAGACTCTTATCGTAGTCAGTTTGCGGCATATGCAAATTTCTGTCCATTTCTGTATTTCATGTAATTACACCCGGACCCGTAGCATCTTATATATGACATTTTCTGTATTTTCAAGTAAATGCCTTATGTACCGACTGCCACTGACATTCATTAACCAAGAATTGCAACCTTTATGGGCCAGCTCGTAAATAAACTTTGGCAAGCTGTTTGCAACGGCTGCGTATGCAAAACATCTTCAAAATTGACTTTACTGATTTTGCCTTTTGCATTTTATTATGTGTTTATTATGCTAACAATGTGCCGAAAGTTTTCCGGGGGGACTGAGATGCGGGCGGGCATGTGGTTAAATATTTGCAGCTGCTGCAGCTCCAGAGGCGTTGGCAAAGGGGGGATAAATATATATATAAACTTCATAACTGGATTACAGACTAAAAATATTGTGTTTAAGCTTGCTTTGTTATACTCATGTTTCGGAGAAATGTTATAATGGGAATAACATAATATTGCTTTGTATGACTGATTTTTGATATAAACAATTTTTTAATTACTTTATTACTAAGTTACTTCACATTTTCAAGTTTTAACAAGTCCTTTTTTTAACGAACAGCAATATAAGATTTAATTTAAAATTTTTTCTTTGCCTTTAAGTTTTCTACATTTTTTTTTAACCCTAACAATATTCCTATTTAATTATTGGTCTTTAAAAAAAAGATAAGCTAAAAGATATTTTCATAGAAGAACACATTACTTTAAAACACTTAAGGGCGAGTTCAAATGTGTCGATATCTGAGGTGAAGTTTTTCTTTGAACCCTCGTTTTACTCTTTGCCCTTATCAATTCATATCTTAAATCATTTCAATATCAAAACAGCTCTGAATTGCCTGGGCTATCGGATTCCTCCTGCTCAAGTTCCTGTTACGCTCTGACCCTTCCAGCAATTTCGAGCCTTTCATCTGTTAAAAGCCTCCACGCTTTCATCCCCTCAGCCGGAGGTCACTCATACGCCCCATTGTCCGGCGAAAGTGACCCTGGATTCTGGCATCTTGTCTAGCATGTGTTTATCAATATGAAAGGTATGCGAAGCTGAGTCAAGTCAAGCTGAGTAAATTAGTTGTCTCTCACTTTGGCTCTGAATTTCTTGTATAGTACATATGGTAAATCCACGGACTGGAGATGATGATTTTGGGCAGGGAGACAACAAACAAGGATCGGGGTCGCTCTGTAAGGGAAAGGGCATTGCAAATAGTTAGACGACTTCCTTTTGTCTTTTGTCTGTGACCCGAGGGCGCAGCCATATCCAGCCCCGCCCCCTTTGACCATCGCCCCCCCTTGCGACCCCTGGGCTGAGGCTCCTCCGTCTGCACTGGTCCATCTGTCATTTTAAGTGGCTTATTCATATGCAAGTGGCTTCCGGGGCTAAGCATATTCAAGTGTTTTAGTGGCTCGTGTACATGACCGAGCATTATCATTAAGTGCTTATAGGCAGGACTGGGCCGGTGCTTTTGCCCATTCCCTCGCTGCGAGTGAACAATGACTGCTATTAACGCAAATTGATATGCCAAGACCCTCTGACGACTGTCTAAATTCTGGCCCCTCCCCCTCGTTTGACATACACCTGGAAGACGAGCTCAATGGCCACCGGAAGTAGAAATATTACGCATACGCACTGTTGCACTTGGCAAGGGACTATAGCTGTGAAAAAATCAATTGAATTGGTATTTTAAGTGTCAATGTTTCAAAGCATTTTTATGTGAGTGGGAATAAGAAAAACAAACTCAAACCTTTTGTTATGCAAAAATGATTCTAAAAGGTGTAAGTGCTAGCAATAAGTACAATTTAATTAGTTTAAAAATCAAATCAATTTTAGGTAAAACATGGCTTTTTCCGTTTTAAATTCACTTTATTGTGAAATTTTAGATGTATATTAACAATAACATTTTGTTAAACTTATTTCTCTGGCAGAGTACTATGAAGGCAACCTCCAGCAGCAGCTGCAGCAGTGCCGCCAGCAGCTGCAATCAACCGGAGCCGCTGGCGACTGCCGCTTCCATATTGGCATCCAGTGGTGCTAGTGGTGCTAACAGTGGTGCCAGTGGGGCCAGCACCTCGACGAAGCCGCACCGCCTGACCAAGGTGTCCTTCGCACCGCTGGACCTGCCATTTCCCAGTGGGGCCACGTGATACGCGAATGCGAATGCGAGTGCCAGCACCACCATGCCCCACCACAACATCGTCTGCGAGTGGCTCCGCACCATCGGACTGGCGCACTACGGCGAGAGTTTCCTGGAGAATGGCTACGACGAGCTGGAGATCTGCAAGCAGATCGGCGAGATCGATCTGGACGCCATCGGCGTGGACAACCCCTCGCACCGGGGCAAGCTCCTCAAGAGTGTGCGCATGCTGCGCGAAAAGGGCGCCGCCATCGTCTACGTTCTTATCAACGACCCCAAGGCCTTGAGCAGCAGCAACGAGATCCTGGCCTCCGACTGTGATACGCCGGTGACCATGAAGGAGCTGGAGGCGGTCATGAAGCGCCACCTCGAGGCGGACGGCATCCGGCTTACCGCCCACCCGTACTCCACGCCGGTGAGTTATGCTTTAAATAATTCTTACAAAACTTATTTAACATAAAATTGCCAAATTTTTAAAACAAACAATAGATTAAATAAAAATTCGTATACCTCTTAAGATTTATTTATTTATTCGTCAACCACTTACTGTTATTTATTTAATGATATTGAAATTATTCAGAAATGAACATTTATGATTTTATAAAACTAGTTTACAAAACGTAATTGAAAATATTCTGCATCTTTTAGTTCTTTGGAGTAAATTGTATATTTAATTTGTTATTTTAATTTTTAAAATTTTTCTACATTGATTATTCAAAAAGTTACTCGTTAAATAAAGCCATGTGGTCATAAAAAAAATAAAAATAAGAAAATGTTTTTATTAATTAAACCTTTTGATATTCCTGGGTTTGGCAACTAATGGCATTTTTAGTATATAATCGTTAAAATTTTATACTATTCTTATGCACTGTTACCTTTTAATAATTTTTTAACTTCATTTTAATTCGTTATATTGTTTTTATTTTAAGCGTTTCTAAAAGTGTTTTATAATTAGCATAGTTCCTACAGTTTATAAAAAAATCGTATACATTGTTTAGTATTTTTAAACAGCATACCTACTAAACTTTCATACAGTTGTGTCATTTTGTTGTTCTTTTATGGTTTTTTGGGGTACTATGCATCTCTGGTGTCCAGCCAAACTGACCAGCGTGGCGAGCAACCAACCAGCGATTGCTCTTATCTATGGTCGTTTTGTTTAGGACTCGGGCAATTTGCATCCTGCCAACCCGGGGGGCGTGGGAAAGGGGGGCGTATGGCGGCAGATGCAACGTGTGACAGTCGTTCGGGGAAACAGCGCTGTGTGCGCTCTAATGTGAAATTAACACGATTTTAATTTAGTTAAACCGAGTGGCCAACCAACGAAGTCTCGCTGGGCCACCTCAACATTCACTATGGGGTCCTCCCTTTCCACCCACCACCCACCGCCCCTGCTGTTCTGTTCTGTACTGTTTTGTTTATTTTATTATATGCATGTTGGTCCCCGGCCGGGAAATGATTTTGCATTGCGTTAATTTTGTTTATTTTGGCGCGTATTTTTTGGTGACTGCTGCTGGGGCTTAGAGATAAAGCTGTGCATTGTGGTTACGTTTTTCGGGTGAAGGACAAGGCAAAGGGGGGCACAATTAAATGATCGGCTAAAATTGCCGAGCCAACAAATTGCAAGTTTCAGCAGGACACACTGCTTTGTGTTTATAAATATGGTAACACACGTGAGAGCTACAGACAGTGGGTAAAAATAGTAAGGACAGTAAATAAATGTCGATTTCTTGTAAAAAAATATATAACATAGTATACGATCAGTCATAATATGTATATACTTAATATTAAATTAAATTTTTGGATTATTTTATTTAAATATTAAGAAAAAAAAGATTTTCTAAAGTTTAAGTACATATTAAATATCTGTAATTCTTCTAGATATTTCCACATTTTCAAAGAGAATTTTTGTCTAGTTTTCTAGTTGCTAGAACCACAGTTCCCGTATAAAAGAAATGCATATTGAAAGGCATTTGCCAGCCTCTTTTGCTGTGATGACTTCTGGTGCTTTTGTCCACGTTTTTGTCGGTAGGTTGTTTGTACTTAGTATCTGAAAACATGTCACTGGTTCAGGGCCGTCTGCATTTCGCCAAAGAAATGCAATCCAATGCAATGCAAAATGGATGCAAAGCCTTTTGCATTTAAAGTTATTTTCAGCGGTAGCAGTGGAGGTGTAGGTGTGCTTCATCCTTGGGGGCGGTGAGTGGTGTTAGGGGGCGTGGCAAGCGTGCCTATTGAGCACGCATAGAGTGTAGTGCTGACAGTTTGCCAGACACTCTTCAGATGCCGATGATGCAGCTGCTTAATATGCAGGCCACGCTATTCTCTGGCTTCCGCTCCAGCTCCAGTTTGCTGAATTTTTTGCTCAACTGAGAAAAATAAAACAAAGATTTCAATCCGAGTCAATATAGCCCATATTTAAATACCCTTTGTTCTTACTATTCAAATCGTATCAACCAAATGTTCTGCCAACAGATAATAAAGTTCATTCTTATGCTATTGAAATAGAATTTTCAATAAGTTATGTTGAAAACTTCATACTGGTATGCTAATAATAATATATAAACCTATTAATCATTTGTGTGTTTGAGCATTATATTCGATTATTTATTTTTTATATCCAACCCAAGCTAACTGAAATGGTTATGATATTATTTTTCAAACGTTCTATAATTTGTCAATTTTGTAATCAATATTTAATACATCTCAAAAATTTATTGGGCATTGTTTTTAAAAGGTTCTTTAAATTATCAACTTTGTATAAGTCGCTTTGATTTAACTGACACGCAGATTTTTAGAAACAAAAGCTTAGATATGTTATATCATATCTCCTTTGACAATATGTATTCAGTCTCAAACATTTTTACTTTTCATACCTTTAAGAGTGATTTTATAATAATAATGATAATTTTGATAACGTTATAAAGTGATCATTTTTTTCCCTGTGTATTAGCACTTCTATTTTTGTTCCTGATCCTGTTCCTGTCAAAGGGTGTTGAGACCGCTCCGTGGCTATGTGTGAAAACTTTGTCATAGGCTGCATCAGCTTCCGCTGCTTTGCATTTTAATTAGCGTTCTTTTTTCATTCACCGCCACAAGTTTATGGCTCAGTACTTGGCATAGTTTGTGCGCCAAGATGTGGTTAAATATTTACGATTGTTGTCTTTGTGGCGCTCCAAATTGAAATGTAACTTAAAGCACCGAAATGGAATTATACCGGAGAGAGGTGTCCAAGAAAGAGGAGGGACGGGCGGTGGTTAGACAGGACTTGTTGGCTTCTCTGGGCCGTCAACTCCCCGTTCGTCTGGGCCATGTTGACGCGCGGGCTCCAACTTCAACTAATTGCACTTTGCGCTGATGAGACAGACAGCCCTCTGGGCGAAAGAGTGAAAGGGTGAAAGGGTGCATTAGGGGGGTACATAGTATAGTATACTATTGTATACTATCTGTGTGTGTCTAACTGACTGACAGCTGCAGACAAGTTGCATTTCAGCACAAATGTTTGCATGTGCATTACATGAATGCGACGCTAAATGAATTTGCCAGGCTTGGTGGGTTGGGTTTAGGTTTACTCCGTGTTAAGTTCGAGTTAAGGATGCAGGTGCAGACATAGACAGGCAGCAGATGCAGATACAGATGCAGATGCAGATGCAGATACAGATGCGGATGCAGAAGCAGATGGAGCTGCATAAAGGAGCACGAGCACGATGCTGTCGCTTCAGTGACCGCTTTGAATGTCAAACAGGACACATTTAAGTGGCAACCTCACGCTAATTACCGGAAGATATTAACACTTGTTCGTCTGACCCCCTCACTCTTTGCCCAGCCCACCGCCTTAAGTAGTTGCCTTTGACCCTGGCCTTAGTGGAGTGTGGTTAAGTCTTCTTGGAAACCACGGGTCCTATGAACAAACTTCCCACATTTCACGAATTAATGTATTCAATACATAACCAGCAGGCGCACAAAAATGTCATTGCTTAAAGGGCATATTTTAAGAACTGTTTACTTAGATTCAATAAATAAATAAAAAAGATTGTAGTGTAGTTTAAAATGATTTTAGTATGGTACGATAAAAATGCTGATATAATATTTGTTTACTTTTAGACATGTCCATAACAAATTAAACTTGTAAACTTGTAAACTTGCTAAATTATATTAAATGAAATAAAAAGAATTAAGATTAAACATTTCCTTACTTTACTGCATTAATATTGTATGTTGTATATTCCCATTATGATTCAAAGTTTTTAGTGGGTATGTGGACTAATTAATTAATTAATTAAGCAATAGAAGATTCAATATACCATTTAATGTATCAATTTATATTAAAAGGAAACCTGTTCAAAGGTCCAGCTTATTAAAAAGATAATCAAATGAATTCAAATTACAGTTATTAATTAGTTTATATTAATTGTGTGATTTCTTTTGCCTTTGTGTAGGAGGGCAAGCGAGGCTACCTGGAGGGATTGGCCGCCCACTACAGCAAGCAGATCAACATGCCGTACGAGGACGTGCTGGACGCCATCGAGCAGGTGCGCCTGTCCAAGTGGAAGGAGCGCCACGTGCGCATCTCCACGGGCCACACCCTGTCCCGCCGGATGGCCGGGCCCAGCTGCAGCGGAACGGGCCTGGTCAGCTCCTCGGTGATGCCCACTAGCCACAGCCAGCCGCTGTATGTGCCCGGCAAGTACTTGGTAAGCAGATGCGTCGACTTTTACGGCCGGAGTGACTTTTACGACCTCCAGCTAATCAGACTCTAATTCATTTCCGTTCCGTTCCGTTTCGTTTATTATGCATGCTCATGTGTGTGCTCTTTTATGTGTACTTGCACTGCAAGAAAATTTATGGCTACCATATTAAGGGCCTCTTTAGACTGGTGATTTTAAGTACCACCACCTTTTTGTATATTTTATGATGTGACTAAACTTTGTTGGTAAACTTTGTTAAAGGTCTTATTTAAGAAAAAATTAAAACAACAAAATGTTTTACTTAAATATTGCTTAAGATTAATATATATACTTTCATCATTCTGATTTTTGTAGTTTAGGTGATTAGGTAATAGTACACAAAACTATTCATTTTGTTTCAAATTACTTTAATTAACAATGTTAAATGTCTAAAAAGAGTAAGAAACTTTATTTTTATAAATCTTAAAAGCACTAAACGCATATAACCACATACACATAATTTAATAAAATATTTTATTTAAATATTTCTAAAGGGTTTTTTGTTATATATATTTCTTCATGATTCTATATTAAATAGTTTACTTTTTCGTGTAGTTACCTACACGAAACCATTCATTTTGTTTCAAATTACTTCTAATAACAATGTTTAAAGTCTGAAAAAAGCCGGCAACTTAATTTTTATTAATCCTTTAAGTTTTAAACACATATATATTTTTTTAATTGGATTTCTAAAATGATTTTTCCCGTGCACGCTTAGCCCTCCAGCTGCCTGTCAAATCGCGAGGAGAACGAGATCTACAGCTACACGCAGAACGATTTGGCCAATCGCATGGCCCGCAATGCCATCGACTCCAAGTCGGCTCTGAATCTGAACGGTATGCAGCAAAGCTATCCTGGAGCGAGGAACAATTTCTTTTACGACTTTTCGGCAACAGGTGAGGAGCGGCTTAAATTTGCAGGCGGGCTGTGGTTAGAGTCAGTTTGGCGGCTCTTCGGTTTTTATGGCTTTTAATTCAATTAAATTGGCTTGCGCTTAAACTTTGACTGTCTGGTTAATCAAATGAATGTCTGTTTGATTCTCGGTTTGATTGTTCGCCTCACTGCCCCGCATTTGGATGTGGATATGTGGATACATGGATATCTGGATTGGATGGGTTAGAGGGTCGGAATAAGCACAAGCAGCGGAGAACGGTTTTCGCCAGGTTTTTGCAGGGCCTCCGGCAGAGTGGAGATGAGCTGAACGCCACGGAAGGAATGCAGTTGAAGGTGAGTTTAGAGGTCACAAATTGGGTGCCACTTACGAAGAAGGTAAACCTTTTTTTTTGTTTGGAAACCACTTCCCGTGTGTGATTTTGTCATTTCCGGTTGAGAAACCATTTTTATTGCCTACTTTAAGGGCAGTCATCTAAGGTCTTTTGCGTGTTTATTTGTGGGTAAAAGTTAAGTTTCTTTTTAATCCCAGAAAAAAGGGCAGCAGAAAAAGGGTTAGAAAGTGACAGCAACCTAAAAGGGGAATGTCTGGAAAGTTAAAACAATTAATTCTTTTAGAAGTTATTTTGGAAGTGCACCTTTGTTTTTGTAACTATTGTCAGGCATTCTTATGGTTTAAATTGATATTTAATTTTGGGTAAAACTAAACTAAACTTAAGAAACCTACAAATTTGAAGGTTATTTAAGGAGTGTATGTTAATAAATATTTTAAAATATTTCCAGATATTCTTATGGCTAAAAATTTAATTTAATTTTAGTATATAATAAAACAAATCTTAAATAACACATGTTATTTTAAGTATATTTAAAAAATATAAGAATTTGGAGGTTATTTTAGGAGTAATTGCTTTTTAAATATTGTCCAGCATTCTTATGGCAAAAATTGTTATTATATTTTGTGTAATATATATAATTAAACACATATTCTTTTAATTGCACTTAAAAAACATAAGAATTTGCAAGGAACCTAAACTATTTATCAGTTTATAAATAATTTTCAAAGTAAATTTTAAACCTGCTCTGTTTCATTTGTATGTCCAAAGAGACAAAGAGCATTAATAAACTATTTAATGTTAAGTTTCCATCCGGTACTTCAGTTCAGCGCCATATAGCCAGTGACATTTTCATTAGTTGAGCATTAGACACTCCCTAAGCTGCTCCAGAATTATGAAAATGGAAAGAGTTTTCGCATTTCGGTCGCAATTTAATTCCCGGCTCCTTAATTCAGGACCGGGAATGTCGTCGCCCTACTCCTCCCTCGCTTCCAATCCCTGTGGAAAGCCATGAAAAGTTCCATAATTTGGAGCCAACTTCAAAGCATTTCCTTGCCACATTCAAAACAAAAACTTTTCCCGCTCTCTGTTTAATGTCGAATTTTTGCCATGGACAAGTTCGCTGGCTTGAGAGGGGTTGGGTGGGGCAAAAGGCGGAGCGCCTGGGACTACTTATAAAATTAAATTAAAATATAAAAACCGCGTAAACCTACAAATAACAACGATGGCCGCAGCAACAACAACAATGGCAGCAATAACTAGGAAAGTTCGCGTTCTCGGGAAAAATGGAGGCGGGGCAAGGCGGGGCGGGGCGGGGCGGAAAAGCCCGGAGGCGGTGGAAAACTTTATCAAGGCTAAGCCGATAAAAGGCAATTACCGTTAATTGCGTTGACTTGCGCCGGGCGAGCGAGCGGTCGAGACCAGACAATGACAACACAGCCGTAGCAAGAAGCGCACGGCGGAATGGGGATCACGGATCGGGGGTTAGGGGTGAGGGGTCAGGGGTCAGGATGGAGCAGGACATGTGCCGGATGCAAATGGCAGAGACTCCGTGATATGAACTGTCAATGAGGGCGGTGGTGCCCCGGGTCCTGTAAGTGCAAGTGCCAGATACAGATGGCAAATGCGGAATGCACTACAGAAACAAAAGTAGATCACTTTCATTTAAAAAGTTTCGAAATCACATAAGAGTTCTAGTTTTGGTTTCTAATAAAATGATTTTTTAACTTTAGAATTAGAGGTTATATCCAGTTTAAAAATACTCCCTTAAATGTAAATAATATATATGCACTTCATTTTAGAGGAGCACTTTTATACCTACATACCCTTAATAATACAAATTTACTTATCGTTTCACAGTAGAATTTTAATAATGAGAACTTATATGTTATTTTAAGAAATTTACTATCCAAATCCAGGATTTGATCTTTGCAAATTTGATATTTTAAATGAAAGCTAACTTATTGGAAACGGGAAGCAATTTTTTGTGTTACAAAGCTAACAAAATGTGTTATCAAGTATTAAGAAAGTATTTTTAATTTATTCTGGTCAGAAACTATATAAGAGGATGGTTCTTTGTACTTAACATGTTTTTTTCCTAAGTGCATCAAATACTGGAGTCGCCAAGGACAAAAACTGGGAACGAGGGCGCCAATCGCATTGTCGGGGGCGCTGTCAAGGATCTGGGGAGCACGTTCCGGCAACTCCACGTTACCTGGTCATTTGCACCTTGGCGCGATTCGGCTTTGCTGCGGTTGTTATGCCGGATGCGAAGGATGCAGAGGCTGCGGAGGATGTGGGCGGGGTTCAGGTGAATCAGGCGGGGCTCCCTATACACGAATGGTCCTTTTTCCATTCGCATTTGTTTTTATTATTTCAGGCGTGCCAAAGTGTTTTGTTTTGTGTGTCCTCGCCGGTCACTTTCCCATTCCAGCTCCCTTCCTTTTTTTTTTTTTTTTTTTTGCCATTTTTGTGTCTTTTTGTTTTGGTTTTTCTGTATTTTTGGGTTCCTTCGGTCCGGCGAGAGTTTATAACTTTTCTTGTTTTACGGTTGTTGTCCGGTTTTTCTTTTGTGTATATGCCCGCTCCGTCGCCGGCTGTTCATTTAATATTTAAGCACAATTTGCCGCTGCCGAGGACTGCAGATTGTCCACTCCGGTTGCTCCTGAGTTTTGCGGTCAATTTTGAAAATGACTTGGACTAAGCACCGGCGACAATTGTGCTCCGTGTTGGGGACAACTTCTTTTGTGTGTGCGCGGCGTGTCCTCTGGCACTCATTACCTTCCCGTGTCCACGGCTCCTGAGTTTCCCGAATCTCCCGATTCACCCGCTTTTGCTATGCTTTTTTGCCCCGGTCAAAGGTCACCCGGAGAGCGTGTGTTTCAGCTCCTCAACGGCACTCATTATGCGGTCTGCTGCGGAAATGCTGCTCTCGGGACAAAAACAGAAACAGAAATAGAAACATCCAGCGCTGGCCTTTCATTACACTTACTGCCCGCCGCTTTTCATTTGACATTCCCATTTCCACTTGAAGTTCTGACTGCGGTCGTTTTGAGGTGTCGATTTGTTGGGTCTGGCTCGAGTTAATGAAGTAATCATGGGTGGGCAATATGGCTGGAGTTGCTTAACCACAGTGATGGAGAAAGTACAATTTATTCTGGCTTGTAGAGAACAAATTCACTTTGCTATGTTGATAGTTGCAAAAGCTTCAAGATTTACACCAGCAAATGTATTTATAAATATATAGAATAATAAAACAAATAGATAAGCTAATAATAGTGGTAGTCAACAATACAATGTAATTATTTAAGGAAATATTTCTAATGATAAGAAAATATAGTTTTCTTTTTTAAAACATTTATATTTTTTTAGGGTTATTTACATTTAAGGGTCAGGCTGTGAGAATTTAGATGAGTTTCTATATTTTTTTTGATTTCTATGTTCTGTAAAACATTTCTATATTTAAGAAAGCAATTCTGTATTTTAGATTTCTATATTTCGGAAAACATTTCTATGCATTGTATTTTTAGTATTATTTAATGGTTATCTTAGTTTTAAGATAAGTTAATTTATATATATATATATATTTATATTTCTTAAAAATGAAAAATGTATTTCCTTTAAGAATTAAGCTTATGATCGAAATTGTGTTAACAACGATAAGCAGTTAGAATGACTATTTTCTTATGGTTTTTTATATCTAACAGACAAACGAGCGCCTGAGAAATTGCAGCACAATGAAGCGACCAGAACCACATCAGGACTTTGAAAAGACCATACAGAGAGTAAATATGAGACCTTTCTGTATCCAAAATATACGCATATTAACTGGGCTGTTTTCCCTCAGCTTAAGACACAAAAGGCGGCCCAAAAGAAACCAGCCAGTGCCCCCTTGGAAATGGCCTTGCACGAAAGGAACAAGGAGGTGGCCCACACCCTTGTGAACGAGATGCCGCTCAATAACTACACGAAGCATCCCTAGGAGTCGGTCCTAGGCAGCGCAGCTGCTTAGATCCTTCTTCCAGGATAACCAGCAAACACAAAGAAAACACTCTCACTTACATAAATTGTTGAATCAATCATTATTCTCAATCAGGTGATACACAATCTTAAGAACGACAGGATCATAATCTAAAGGATGAGGCTAATAAATAGGAAAGGAAATATAGCAGGCCAACGAAGCAATAGCAGTGCACTCATAACTAACAAATAGGAAGACAAATAGCCATAGGAATAATATCTACAAGCGTTGAGTTTAACTTACCTATAGGACTAATTGACAGAACCGACCTGATCAGCACCCAAACCCACTGTATAGACACCTGACCTGACCATTAATGAACAGTAAGCCTAGTTTAAGCAGCACTTCACCTCCCCTTTGACCCGCTACTACTAATATATACTACACAGAGAAAAATACTATACTACCAAACAAAAAGAAGTTACTCCGAACATTATATCGCTTGCCAAAATGGTCAAAAATTTAAATTTGAATCTTGTTTTTCGGTCAGTAAAAAATTTTTACAAAGAGTCCATAAGTAAAAACCTTTTATTCAGGGTAAAATATAAATATTTATATATATAACTTAATATTTATAAAACACTTACATTTATTAATGGACATTTTTAAATATTAAAAAATGTTAAAGATTATTTTAGAGTCTTTGTGAGCACTTTTAGTATTGACAAAAACACCATCATATTTTGGTTATAATTTTTTTTCTCGAACTGTATATGGCTAAAATGATCAAATTTAAATTTTAATTTTGTTGTTATTAACCAGAATATAAAATATTATTTGTTATTTTCATACACACTTTTTTTTACACATTTGTTAAATTCTTAAATTAGTTAATGGGCTTTCTCAAATATGGAACAGTGTTTAAAGATATTTCAGAATCAGCGTGTACGTTTAGTAATGATTTTGTTTTGATAGAAATTTCTTAATAACCCTGAAAACAATTTTTCGATAAAAACACCATTATTTTTTGGTGATAAATTTTTTCTCTGTGTGCGTACTCCAACCCAAACCAGATTCAATCCCGAATCGCTCTTGCCCCGAAGTCTAGCGGCAATTATTTGAACACTTCCAGAAAGCCGCCGCAGCAGCAGTCTGCGAATGGGAATGCGAATGCGATTGCGAATGCGAATGCGAATCGACAACTGACCGGGGGAAATGTTGACAAAACGCAAAAATCCAACAAGCTTAACGCTAAATCAACATGCACACTCGCACATTTGGACCCACATGCAGGGGCAGAATGGCAAACTTGTTCTAACCGCAGACGTTGAACAGACACAAGGACATTTGGACATTTGGAAATTTTCAGACGGACCGACGTACTGACAGAGCGGATGCGGCTCTGGCATTTCCGTTTCAACTTGGCAGTGCATCGATTTTGGTCTTTGGTTTTTCGGACTGCAGCTACAGGCTGCAAAAGCACCAAAAGCAGCAAAACCAACCTGAAGCCGAAATGGACGGTCTGCCATTTGCCTTTTTTGCATTTTAATTGCATGTTGCGCCTGAAAGTATGCAACTTGTCCAGCTTGTGCCAGTGTGTGTGTGTGTGTAGGTGGAATTGTCCTTCTTTCTTGCCATGTGTTTGTGTTGATAGAGATGGGGAGTCTTTATAGAAGTGCTTAATTTAAAGTCCTTAATGTACAATGTATTTCGGATGCATAAATCTGAATTTTAAGCTTAGGTTTTATTAAGAATTATTTCCATTCCCTTCTCTTTGGGGCTGTACCATTTACAATTTTAAAACATATTAAAAAAAATTTGTACTATATCTTTATTTTGTTACATTTTGTCTTACTTACAATTTTTTTTTCTTAAAACACCTTCTATCCTATTGGCGTTAGTAACTATTTTAAAACATTTAAAAAACGTGTATACATTAGGTTTTTTACTATTTTTCGAACCTTAGCTTTTTATACCTAAAGCATCTTAAAAGGTACCTTAAAAATAGTAAACTTCCCAGAGAATGCGAATTGCACTATTTATCATAATAACAAAAACTTATAAAAACGTATTTTCTTAAATTTAGTCGTATCTAGAACTTTTTTTTTCAAAAGCACCTCTCTACCTTTTATAAGGTAAATAGTAAACTTCCCATCACTATTTTTTAGACAGAGAATGCCATTTGCATTTTTGAGCCAGGCAAAGGCATTTGAAATTCGTTTTTAATTTTGTTTGCTCTCTGGCCGAAAGGCACCAAAATGGTCGATGGCCATTTGCTCGCGGTTGTCTTTGTCATTCCACCAATTTCAAGCCACTCCCACTTAGCAGCAACACCCCGAAAAAACATGGAGACATCCGGGAAAATGCTGCAGCTGCGTTTATTATTAAATGTCTGCGGCATTGCGTTGAGCTGCCAGAAAATTGAAACATTTAGCGGCTACGTGAGTGCGTTTGCCAAGGGATCTGCAGCCATTTGGAGGCCCGTTTCCGGTTCCGTCAGTCGCCTGTCGCTGAAAACTGCAATTAGCTTAAGCACTTCGTCCCAATGCCAAAATACCATGCCACTTTCGGCGAAATTTTCCGGCTGCCATGGCAGCCATTTAATATTTCATTTTTTTATTCGATTCTGTTCTAGCGTGTGTTAACGTGCAATTAACCCGGCCAGGCCTCGATGATAATTTTATTTAAATTTAATTAAATGCAGTACAGCAGAGAGTCCGCCAGCCAACCAACCAGCAACCAGCAATAGTGAAAATAGTATAGACAAACAAACAAACAAAATGCAAACAGTGAAAAAAGGTGAAATTAAATATAGGCAAAGTGAAAACAAAGCAACAAACTCTGAGCGGGCAGTCAAGTGTAAAATTGTGCGCCAGTTTAATATATATATAATTGCTTAACTACCAATACATAGGCATATACATATATAGATACAAATACAGATACAGATACAAATACAGCAGCACAGGGCCAGTTAAATGGCCAAAACAAAGGGAGCAATCGGCAGAAATAGACCAGTGACAGCAATTAAAGCGTAAACTGTAAAATACAAAGTCAAATTCAGAGCAAAACACGCTCGCTTTAGTTCGGATAAAAAAATAAATAATAAATTATTTAATAACAAAAATTGATTGGGAAGTGCACAATATAATACTAGCCATGATATTTACAACCAATCAAGCGAGAGGCATTTCGTTATTGATCCCAGCCTGAGCTCAGTGTCCAGGTCAATTAATTTATGCGTAAGCCCAATCATAATTTAAATTAGGACTGCCAGAGTGGGCCATAAATCAATGGGCAACTTGTTGACCCATTTCGGGACTCCCCGCTGCCAAATCAAGCAGACGACAGCATTTACGTTTACATGGCCAAGTGGCCAGTCGAGCGTTACAAATCACAATAAACAGGAGAGGAGCCGAAGCTGAAGCTGATTCCAATCCGGGCTGTCGGCAATTAGGCTTACGGATACATATATTTATTAATTTATTATGGATATTGATGGCCCATGGTCCACTCACAAATATACATCAGCTAATATACATATAGCTACATTTAGCCGCATACGAATATTTACAATAAAAGTTGATGGTCAGCGGCCATCGACAAATTTCAATTTACATACGTAAGTGTTTAAGCAGAATGCCAAAGCATTTCAAATGCAAATGGTTCCATAAAACGACAAAAAATACGAAAATTGATTGCCCAAATAAATAAATAAATAATATTTATGAAAATAGAGCACGCGTGAAAGCGTGTCAGAATTACCCACATAAACATAGTGAATATATTTACACACATTTGTATAGATATATGTATACACCCCTAGAATATACAATGTTTAAAACAAATATTTAGCGAGCGTATGCCCCGAATGTTTTGCAATTGTAATCAGAAATTGGCAAATGACTCGCAAAAAGCGAGTAGCAAAAATTTGCATACGTTATATGAAACAATCAAATATTTTTAAAGTTCAGTTCACATAGAAATAAAGAGTTTTTCCGAAATGTACAGCAAAATGGAGTTTCGATGGGTGGTCTTAAGTGCTGTTAGTAGTAACAAGATTGATTGGTTTTTGTACTTAATTTAAATCAACATTCAAAAAAGGCAATGTCAAAATATTAAAATAACACTTAATAACAATTTAGTAACAATTTGTTAGTTTAATTGAATTAAATATAATTTAATATATAGAAAATAGCTTCACTAAACTTTCCTTATTTGATAGCAACAAGATGTTGCATACTTTTGGGTAGCGGGAACAAACAATGGAATCTGAGTGGTGCCCCCAGTTTGAGAGGCTCTGGGCTTTGTGACTTATGCTGATCAGTTGCCTTGTTTGCAAATATACATTTATTTGTAGACAAATATCGCAAATGTGAACGAGGATATGGGTCCTTAGATGGAGAAGCCGTTTTATTTTGTTTATTACACTTTTTATACAGGGACATTTCTATCCGGAAAAGGGACCAAATGGTAAATATGGTGGGTAGGTAAAATGCAGGTGTTGGCTTCCATCAATGTCGCTCATGCGTATCTCCAAGTTGCCCCTGGCGGATGATTGATGATTGCTCTGACGCTTCCTGCAAGCTGAGATTGCTCTAAACCTTTCCCTGCTCCTGGTGGGCAAATCACAGGAAGCAGAGTAAGTCTTAGGGGTTACAAATAGTGGTTGAATATATCAGCGAGTTGTAAAGCACGGAAACTTTAAACAGTTCTTATTGGTGTCTGAGTACGAGACACATAAGATGGTAAATTATTTAATGATAATGTGAACCTACTCTTTTATTTTTGCCACAAAAGATCCATAAAGATAATTCAATTCTAGAGATAATGAAGAGCGGATTTGATTTCATTATTAAGAAAGTTAGGGCTAACTGGTATCAAATAATATAATTTATGATAGAAATGGTATCGAAATCATTGTAACAAATTGCAATTTATTTTCTCCATTTTTATAAACCATATTTATTTCTTTGCCTTATGAACTTTGCAATTATTTGTTTTTATTTTATACATATATTCTCACAGCACAAATCTGGGTTCAAAGTTTGTAGATCCTTCAATATCCTATTAAAACAAATGAAAGCAATTTGTGTGAAAACTACGGGTAAAGAGTTGCAAGAGGTAAAAACAACAAAGAAGGAAAAGCGCTGGCAGGTTCCTACTCGAATATTCCCAAACAAATATGCAGGAACAGCCCCTCGTATCCTCTCATTCCGCCATTCCCACATTATTCGAACTTCGAACGTGTCATTGTAAGTTCAAGTGTAGCCAAGAGTGGAGAAGTCGGGAGCAGGAGCAGAAGCAGGAGCAGAAGCAGAAGTCCTCCAGCTGACTCCGCTGGAGCGGATGGGAATGAGTGCCGATGATGATTGTTGGCATCGCCAGGAGGATGGAAGTCGGGACTTTTCGGGCCTGGTCCTGGTCCGATGATTGTGATGGGCACAAAAGCCAGAGGCTCATGAAAAATGCATGCGACTCGGCTGCCTCATATGTTTTATGGCTTGTTGAATTCCGTCGCTGCTCCTGCCCCTCCGTTGTACTATAGTTCAAGTTGTAGTCAAAGTCGAATCGCATCACTGCCATTGCCCGTTAAATTAATAAAGGACAGCAGCAGCAGCAGCATCAGCAGCAGCAGGACCCTGACAAAAATGTTGTATGCGGCCAAAGTTGAGGTTTGTTTTTCCAACAGCTGCCGCCGTGCAGAATGAAAACCGAGCGGAGTCTGGTATAATATGTTTAATTTTCCCAAACATATTTCCCTAGCTCCCTAGCTCCTGGCTCTGGCTTTTTTCATTTGTTATTTTTGGCCAACAGCTAGTGTATTCTTTGATTTCCGTGTGATGGGGCTGGGGCAAGTCCCCCTCCTATCCTGTGAAAGCGCATTTGTCTAACCGAGTGGAAGCTCTCAATCCCCCAAACCACATTTTCTTGCCCCGCTCTTTTTTATAAATTTTAATTTCCGTTTGCATTTTGCACGTTTTTCATAATTCATGCTCTTGAAGTAACTAGATTGATGAGAGCCGTTTCCAGGCGGGCATTTGCGGGCTGTCCACTGGGCTTATCCCCGCCCAACATCCCAGTATCCCAGTATCCCAACATCCCAGCATCGCAGCATCCCAACCTGCTGGCGAGCACCACACCGCCACTCACATGCATAATCGTGCGGAAATGCCATATACACTAAGCTGACCCAGGCCAAAGTCTTACTTATATATATAGTACACTACGTACATAAGGATATATCTATAGATACGTATAGCCGAGCGTGTGTGCCAGTAAATCGCTGTATCTGAGCCGAGGCATCACCAATCACCCTGCACCGCCCACTCCACACACCCAGCTGGCTCTCAACCCTTTGCCAAAACAGCTGCCTTGGCTGAAAGTCCTGCTTGAAGCTCCTGTCGGCTGCACAGAGAAATAAAACAATATATAAAAAATAAATAAATTTTAAATATCTAAAAACTAACTATAACTATTAACTGACTTTCCAACAAGTCATAGCTACAGAAGTGGATAATATTATATTAAACTCTAAAAACTTTTTATTTGATGTGTCAAATGTTGTATTTTTCTTGAAATTAAAAAATATAATATAATTTAATTTATAAAGCTTCGGGATTGTAGTTACCCTCTTTTTCTAAACAATTTTAAAATTGTTAACTTTAGTAATATTTTTAAGTTTTAGTTGTTAAAGTTATTAAAAAACTAAAGGAAATATCACTGGTGCTTTCCTTAGAAATGTAAACTTGTTGCGCTGTTATCATAATAAAATAATAGTAATTACTATAATAAGTTAATTTTTATAATTCTTAAATAGGATTTCATTATTATGTATATTGTATGTCCTTCCTTAAAGGACCTGAATTTAATTTAATATATTTATATTATTTTTTTGTTGTGAGCCTTTACTTCAATATTAATTATGTTTTAGATCAAATTTTTGAACATACATTTGAATTCATAAACTAATCATTATAATGATTATAATTATTTGATAATATATGCATTATTTTGAACTCAGTTAACTCATGTCAATAGATTTTTTCCTTAGTGTAGTGCTGCTGTTGGTGGTGGTGCTGCTGGTGGCTCTGCCACTGGAGGTGGGGTGGTGGTGCATCCCCATAGGGCCATTGACTAATAGGATTTGAAGAGCGTAAAATTGGTTCGTTGTGAACATGAAATATGCAGTAAATCCTTTTGCGCCCCGCTGCCGTCCGTGTTTTCCTTTAATATTTGCTGCTGCAACGTTGTTGCAGCTTAAATATTCTTACCCCGACAGCAAGGTCCTGACTTCTGCTCTGTTTCCCCGGAGTCACCCTTTTCCATTTCCCCTTTTGGTGGAGGCCAATGCACGCGCAGTTTGTTGCAATTTCGCGGTTCGATTTTCCTTTCCCCCAACCCAAAATTTTCCTCCTTACATTTTCCAACGTTGTTGTCGTCGTCTCGGCGCGATGGTGTGTTTTATTATCACAAATAAAGCGCAATCACTGTTGTGGCACCCGCTTCTTGCGCCCAATCCCACCCACTTTTACGCCACTTTTCCCCCGCTTTTCCCGCACTTTTCCGACCACTTTTCCGCCCACTTTCAGCCACTGAAGGAAGCCCAAGTAAGCATTGCATTTTTCATGTCTGGATTTCGTTCGTGTGGCAGCCTGAAATATTGCAAATAGTTTGGCGCTCCTTCTCAATTGCGTGAAATATGAAAAACCCCGGGAAAATTTGTAGTAAAAGCCTTGCTGCCGTCGCTGCAGCGGCAATGCACTCCAGATTTACTTTTCGCTTTGCTGCCATTGCAGTCTCCTAATGTTTGCCTCTTTAATTGTCCCTGTTGCTGCAAATGGCCGGGCATTTGTTTTCATTACTGCCAGGACGAACTGGCCCAGAGAAGAAGCAGTTCTCAGGACAATCTGAAGCTCAGGGGTAATTTGGGTACACTGGGGAGTACTTCTCAGTTAAAAAAAAAGAATTCTTAGTCTGGACTTAAAACGGATTCACTCTGGAGATGTCTGGGTCTTAAAACCATAGATTAGGTAAGAAACTTAAGTGTGGAAATGACAAGAAACTCTTTATTATTTATCAATATCTGTTTTTATTAATTGCGTCTCATTGTTTCCCTTATAAAAGATGGATTTCGAAGGTTAATTTTACTGTAATTTTGTGTCTTAAAACCACAGAGTTTGAGTTTAAAAGCTTTTAACAACTTTTTCACTTGACTGCTAATTGGTTAAAGTTTAATTTTCGTTAAAGGTTTATATTAATGTTATTTTTAAATTGTATTTCCCTAAACTTTCAGACTTTATTTAGGGCTATAAGGCTAGGCTATAAGATAGAATTTAAATGTTGTATTAATTTTCTCAAGCTACGAGGCTATTTAATTCCAATCATAAAATAGTTTTGCCTTCAGTGTAGCAGCCTTGGCTGGCGACAGCGATAATTGTGAGCCGTATTTATGCAGTCCTTAAAAAGGCCGCTCCTCGATGGGAATGGCCGGGAATCCCTTCTAATGCCGCTCAGCCAGCTGCCAAGGACTTTTGCTGGCCGTCTTACGGCTAAGCCGCCTCAAGACCTCGCCGCTTCGCCTCCATCGTTCATTCAACTGCAGCTTGGCTGACTTCCGGCGTTGCCTTTTATGATAAATTGAAACAAATAGCCAGCCAACACCAGTGCACACACACACACACACACACAGAGGCACAGGACCTGGCTTATCAGAAAATTGCGCTCAGCTGTTTATGAAAGCATAACAATGTTAGCTGCCCTGGCCATTACGGAGCTCCAGCTCCAGCTCCAGTTCGAGGTCCAACCTAGGGGCCAACATCAACATGATCATCAAACTGAATGGCTGTTCCTGCTCCTGCTACTGCTCCTGGAGTCCTGTGGTCCTGCTCCTCATCTTCCCTTCTTTTTTTTTTTGGCCTGGCTTGCTGGCTGGCCGTCGCAGCACATAACTCACAAGTAGGATAAACAATTTACTTATCGCCACTGCAGTCATGCCAGAAGGAGTTGGTAGTTGGTAGTGGGAGTAGCTACCTCTTACCCCGGCCAAGACCAAGATTCAGTCTCCGTCTGAGACGTTGCCACATCAGCGCGCCACATTGGCAAATAAATCATAATAAATAACTTGAAAAACGAAACACCTTTGCGCACAAAAGTTGCACGTCCTGTTACTGGCAAGCCGTACGAGTAAAACTTTTTACCCTGCCAAGAAGATTAGTTCAAGGAGGGTTACATCGTCCTTGTGAGGCAGGTTTACTTTGCCGAACTGCGAAAAGCTGTGAAAATGTGAAGAGATTTAAACTAAACCTCTTACATACTGGCCTATCCTTCATAATCGAATCTTACTTAATGAACAACTTCTCTCTATATTAATATGTTCTAAAAATATGCGTTTAAGTGTTGGAACTGTAATTTGCTATCGATTTTCTTAAAATTACAAAGATTTTCTTGAGCTCTGAAAATCTGCATTTAAATTTTGGTTTGAAGTTTTCGGTCGATTTTCTTGAAATTTTAATGATGTAACCCCTTTACATTATATTAATATTAACCATTCCAGTTTACGATTTGGTAGTGTATTGCAACTTCGTCTTGCCATTTCTGTTCATTCAAATACATTGTATTTCCCGTTTCCGCTGTCAGTTGGTTTTGGTGTTAGTGGCTGCTTACAGTTTAGCACTTGGCCAACTTCCAGCCAGAAGGAGACAGACGAAGACAAGGGCTCAATTCCTGCAACTGGTGATAAAAATTGATACATAACTTGCATAAATCAGGCGCCTGCCAGGCATTACGCATACGCCATGTGTGCTGGTGGCGCACCATTTATTAAATTAGCCACAGCATTAGCCACCCCAGGTAATTTGTAAATTTCTGACAGATGCGCTGATAAACTCATTGCCGCGATTTCTTTGTGCGCCGATGGTGTGGCGCGTTGGGTGATTTGTGATTTATGCTGGTCGTATTACGGCTGCCTACATAACAATACTTTATTCGCAATACTTGGGGCCAAAAACTTAACGTAACATCACAAGGAGAACGGGAATGGCGAACGGGAATGGAATCGATAGCCGTCGAGGCGTTCGAAGGAGTTCGCCGGTCTCGGTCTCGGTTTCGGTCTCGAGGATTCAGGATTCAGGTTTCAGGTATTCCGGGATTTCGGGGGATTTAGGGAGTCGTCTCCGAGCGTCTGAGCCTGGCCAACTCCGGATGGGATGCCAGGCTGTCGTCCTTCTCCGCCGCCGGCGGCGGTTTCGGCAGACTGAAGAATTTCTGTAAATTAAATTTGTGAAAAATGAAATTAGGCTACGGCTGCTTTGCATAATTTAGATTATAAATTAGATGTGCCAGCAGAACTCCATCGTCGTGGCTCATTGCTCATGAAGCGGAAGAAGCGGTTGCCAAACTCTCTTGCCACTGAAGAGAAAGTAATTGCAGTGAAATCGCCCTTGCTACTTTTATATTTAGTGGCTTGTTTGCTAGCGAGATTTTTGAATTTGAATTTCCCGATTTTAGGTACATTTAATACGCGTGTCTGAACTTTTAGCTTGTAGGGATATGAAACTGTTTTGTAATAATGCGCACGTTTTTGATTCCTATAAATTATTTGAATTTAAAATTATTAATCTGATGATTAGCAAAAAGATTTATTAAATTATTATTTTTAGTTACACAGAAAAATAACGTTGCAAGTATTAATTGGTTATTTACAGGTCACCAAACAAATAATTTTTATCATTTAATAACGTAAAATTGGTATTAACAAAAATCAAATGTTTCACTTTCTTTCACTATTTTAACAAATCAAATTGATACTTATATTATGTAAGCGAGCTATATTTCATTTCAGATTTGTTTTTCTGTGTAACCGTTTTAAATTTATTAAGTCGTTTTGTTAGGAAGGTAGAATTGCAATTATAGCGAATTTATAAAAACAGTAATAATGAGTAATAACGATTTGTTAGGAATTAGGAATTTGTATTAGGCGTCGTTTAAATATTAAGTTATACGTTTTGTTTTAATTTACAAGAAGATTCATTAAGTGAGCGGTTGTTATTTTTGTCACTATCTCGCGATATCGAAACAAATAAAAAACAGGACACTTTCGAACTTACATCGTGTCGTCCAAAGTGTTCCGCCTCCTCCATTGTGTCCGGCAGCTTCTTGTGTAGCGTCTCCGGCAGGAAGAGCGCCCCGATGCCGCCCAGCAGGAAGAGGACGCCCAGGATGTAGTACGGCGCCCGGATGTCCACGTTGGTGCCCAGGTAGACCAGGTACGGGGCCAGCACTCCGATGGCGTTGGCCAGGATGGTGCCTAGAGCCACCCCCGTCTGCCGCATGCACGTGGGATAGATCTCCAGGCACTGCAGGTTCACCGTGAAGAAGGTGAGGGCGTTCAGGAACTTAATGAAGGTGGCCACGTAGATCATGAGGTTCTCGTACCGCTCGTCCTTCGCGTACACAATGATGGGCAAGCAGGAGACGAAGCAAACGAGGAACGATATCGAGTTGGTGAGGCGTCTGCCATACGTATCGCCTGCAAAGGAAAGTGGCAACCAGAATTCACAATGGACCTGTGATGGACTGCTGCAATCAGCGCGGCGTCACGCCTCGCAGCACTAACACCCAGCACCCAACAGCCAATACCAAACACTCACCCATATAACGACCCACAATGTAGGCGGGAATCTCCACGATGCTCTGGTACAAAAAGTTGAGGAACGGATTGCCCGCCATGCGGGAGCTGAAGAGCACCAGCGTGAAATAGGAGACGGCCACTACGCACCTGCAAGCGGAGTGAATCGCCAGTTAGGCATGCAAATTGCTTTCGGTGTGAAATTCTCAGTGCAGTGGAACAAAAATTATTGCAATATTTTTGATTTTATATTTGAAATTTGCTAAATTTGAAAAAAAAAAATTATTTGGTATTGGGAAACACCAAATAAATAATAAAGAATCAAGAAAATATATAACATGTCCTAAATTTGTCTCTAAACGAAAACTTTTTCTCTAAGTTTATCGACGTTTCTCACCAACTGGAGCCCATGATGATGGTGTTGCGGGCCAGCCGCCAGCCAGCAAAGAGCGATGCGATGCCGTAGGTGACCTCCTGCTTGTCGCGACTGTAGATCTCGGCCAATTCCTTCTCGGTCATGTCAAAGCGATGGCCGTTAATTTTGGCTATCTTCTGCAGTTGGACAATGGCCTCGCGGAAACGCTGTTTGCTAATCAACCATCGGGGCGATTCGATTACGTATCTGGTTGGGAAATTTAAGATTATTTAAGAGGTTAAAAAAGGATTTGAGCAATGATTAAAGAATTAATTAAGTTTCAGATCGAGCTTTGATGCATTTCCATTCAGGGATTAAAAATATGAACTTAAAGTTAAGATTATTCACAATATACATAGTTTAATGGATTATCTCCAGGAAATGAACAAGGTTGTTTCTTAAATTTTCTTTCAAATGCGAATATTTTAATTTTCTTAGAATACAGTTCTAACATTTTTATTTTAAAAACTAAAAATTGATTGAAATACGATAAATTACTTCATAATGAGGGGAATCGAAGAACTTAATAAGTAATTAATGTCACGACGGAAACGTAGTAGTTGATTAGATTTGGGTGGGCTTGGGCCACGTGACTTACTTGGAGAAGAGCAGGACCATTGCCGTGGGCACCGAGGTGAGCCACATGAAGGAGTCCCAGTGGCGCAGCCACCAGTAGAGCAGGGGCATCAATGTGGTGCCGATGGACCAGCCGCAGCTCTGGAAGAAGGCGATGCGACTGCGGTCCTCCCTGGACACAATTTTCGGTGGAGTGGGTGAGCAATAAAAGTTGAACGAAAAGTTTTGGGACAAAGAAAAACTTACTCCCGCGAGATCTCCATGCCGATAATTTGGGGCGATTGAAAGAGGCTGTTGACTGTGAGGCCGACGATGCCGGACATGATGAGGAACCACGTGTACGAGCTGGTGCACATGACGGACCCGATGCGTCCCAGGGAGCAGAACACCACGCTGATGTAGTACACGAGCCTGCGACCGTAACTGCCGGCCAAGTGGACAAATTCAATTACCGCCGCTGCCATAACTTAGTTAGGTGGCCGTGCTACTTACGAGTCGCCCATTTGTCCCAATATAAATGAACCGGCCACCTCTGTCACACGACCCACCACGAACACATTTGTCACGAACAAATCCTTGGCGCACACCCAGTTGTGGTCCGTGGGGATGGTGCTCTCGTACCAGGTCTTGTCGTAGCTCCAGCCATTCTGGCAGGCTAAATACAAAAAAAAAAAAAAAAACAAAAAACAAAAAACGTTAAACGAACGGGGAGCGCGGTCGTAAAATGCATTCGAGTGCAAAGTTGCAAATATTTATAAGACATCAGAAGGTGGAGGAGGAGGAGGCCAAGTAATTTTACCACTAATCCGGCAAACGTATGTATTTACCTTCTCTCCAAAGTTGTTTGATGGAAATGATGGGTAGCTCGATAAATATTTGGCAATAAAGCCCAGTACTTGATGAGGTTTAACAGAAAGTTAAGTTAAATAAATGCTTATAAGGCAAATAAAAGAGGCACATAAATTAAGCAGGTATGACGCTCTTACGTTTTTAATTGGATTACTTTATTTCGAGCTTAAACTTGTTCAAAAACATGTTGACTTTAGTTAACAGAAAAGAAAAGTTAAGTTATATAAAATCTAAAGAATTTGGAACATTTAGTTGTGAGATATTTCTTTACTGAGTTTCAATTAAAGTTTAAGAATTTGTTGTATTTAGTACTGACAATTTTAATTACTGAGCTTCAATTTAAATTTATGAATTTAGTAAATTAAATACTGAGATATGAAATTTAAAAACAAGCTAATAGGGATGCTGTTTAAAATTAATTGTATAAATATATTTCTATAAAATATGGATTTCTTTTTTAAAGAAGCTATTCCCAAACAAACACCTACATATATAGTAGAATATAGTAGAATAATACTCACTTTCTGTTTTGTTTGTTCGATTGCTGGTACTCCAAGTTGACCAGTCCGTAATCTCTGAGAAGTTTTGTTGGAACATTAGGCAATTGCTGAACGTCTCCCGGTCTCGGTTATCGGTCTGTCTATTACAAATTAATATTCGGTTCATTGAATTTGGTTAAGGGATCACCAACTTACTTGGGCAGCGTGATGTCGCGCCACTCCTCTATAGTAAAGTTTGTATTCTCTCTTCCCGGCACCGTGCACCAATGATCGGGTATGTTGAGGGCCAAAATGATGTTCATGTAGATCATAGCCCCGCAAAAGGCTAAACCGCCGACAAATACGAAATTATAAAGCGTTTGATAGCGACCATGGTTGCCAGCCTTCTCCATCAAAGTCTGGAAGGGATCATTAAACTCAGAATCGTCCACGTCCATCTGGGAAAAGTGTCCCGAGACTTGGGAGGCCTTGCGGCTGTTCGCCTGTTCCTTCTTGTCTCTCATTTTGCACTACCAGTGTGCCAAGTGGCTGTGTCTTAGTCCCCAGTCAGTCGTAGGGCCCGATAAGAACAGTAATCTTTATGGCATCTGGGCCAAAGATGGGGAGATTGCGAGGCAATTAGCTTTGGCAGATTGTTGGGAGTTCCTATTCAGACAGTTGGCGCCGATCGGTTGTTAAAATCTTTTAATTAGGAATATAAAAAACATACTGGGTTATATCTCCAAACTGTCTGAAAATTATATGATTTGTTGGATTGGAAGATATAAAACCATTTATGATTAAAAGATGCTTTAAGCTTGTGGCTATAATTTATTTACTCTATAATGTTTGCTTTGTCGGTGAAGATTTTACTTGTGAGCTATCCATCCATTTTTATTTATTTATTCCTTTGATAATAAAGATGTATCTCTTTACCAAAGGTATTATAAAGCAAACGTGTGCGAGATTCTAACAATACACATTCTTCACTTATCACTTTATTAACAAATAGCATATGTTTACTTTGTGAAATTATCCATGCTTATTCTAATAAAAGACCTGATTTTAGATCAAGCTACACAGAAAAAAATTGGCATTTTAAATGAAGCGTTTTTCTAATGAAGCGTTTTACTTTTTAAAATATTTGGATCCCATTTGGAACCCAAAATGTTTTGTTTCCAATTTTAAAATGTTTCGTTCTCTATAGGTTTTCGTGAAATAAAAATAATATAAAATACAATATGGCAACTTTTCACTTACCTTAACTTTTAATTGTAATCACAGGTAGTTTAAGTTTTGAATAATATTTTTCTTACACTTTGAACAGATATTTTGGGTAATATAGTTTTAGATTTTTGGTTTTTATTCTTAAGCCTTCATCCCAATCTAAGGGATATTTGAAAATGTAAACGGATTTTGGCAGCTAGACCACACTTTTCACATCCCGCCGCGGAACGGTGAAACTTTTGACTTTGGCGCCTGCGAGAGCTCATCAACTGTGGCCAACACACGGCGGTGCTTTTCTGAGTGCCCCAACGGCTGTGGTGCGACTTATCAGGCCAAGACGGGCATTATAAAACGAATTACTGATAACAGAATGTCTATCTGATATACACAAATGTATGTAACCATTGCCAGAGCCAGGCAGCGGGCACTGTGAACCTGTCCAAATTCTGACTGAAAGCGATGATTGCCCCGTTGAGCAGGTTATGTTTTTCCACGGGGCTCACGAATCTAATCACCTTTCTCCACAGCCGCTGATAAGGGCACGGTGGGTCATCATGCTAATCGGGGGGACAGCAAATACGGGGGGACAGCAAATACAAACAGTTAATTGCCTATTAATGAAACCGGAATTGTATATAGTAGAGTGTAAGAAGTAGTCATAAAATTGTTTACATTTCGATTGTTGTGTCAGTTACATAAAAGAAACTCTTTTGATTGATATGGGGCCAACCGGCGATTGCATATGCAATTTCATCTTTATAGAGGCCATAAGCCAGTAGCTCAGCGAGCACGTAAGCCTCTCAACAGATAAGATAGCCAGACGGAGACGATTGCATTCGTCTTGGGGTTAGGGATAGAGAGATATTTTGGGGGACTAGACAAAGCAAAGACACAAGACTAATCCTAGGTTAAGAATACGGCCATATTTGACAACACCCACTGCACTTGCACTTCGCTAGAATTTTATCTAAAATTCGTATTTTACACTTTATTTGCTGTGGCTTCTATTTGATTATCAGATTAAAAATACACGATTATCTTGTAGCTCTGCTCGAGCTACTGCCGCATTTGACTGCCGACTGTGAGTGGGATTGCGACTGAAAACCAAGCCGAGAACACACGTTGATGGCAATGAGATAGAAGTCCACTTGGCTCGACTTGTGCAAATGCAATAATATCAATTTTCATATTTTCATATACTGGCCGCGCGAAAGACAAAAGCAATTTAACAATTTACTAAAGCACTTAAGCGCAAATTCAGTACCCGGTCGTCGTCGGGGGACTAGACGTTGTAAAAACTAAGCCAGCGACGACTGTCACTCTATGAATAAACATCATGATCATCATCATCGCCACCATCATCAGATCGTATAGACCTGGGATAAGGAGTAGATTTGTAAATTAAATCAAAGCAGACTACGTCGGCGTTGTGCTAATCTATTGACTGTCACCGACACCAAGTCGCTGCGGCCATTAGAGCGCGTCAGAGATTCAAGGGTTCCTGGTTCGGAGATCGTTTACATTTCAGTAATCATAAGTTGGGCTTGGGTGAATCACTTGAGGTGGCGAGGTCACTCGGCAGCTTCCAATTGCCGGGAACTAAAAGTTTCGTCCGAATTGTTTTTGAAAGCCATTGAGGCGGTCTCTTTTGCCCGATCAAAAGCGAAATGGGGGCCTTAAGTAGAGCTCAACCCATCGAAAAATAAGTGAGGGCAGAGCCAAGGGTATGGGAAAGTCAATGCCAATAAGAGTCAATGAAAGGTAATGACCATAATAACTAGATATATACTTACTATACTTGCAAGCCCTTGAAATAACATTTTAAAAGCAATAAATATTTCCCCTAATCCCAATAATAACAAATTTCCAACATTATTTACTTTTTAGATATGTTCATTTTTATTTAAAGAATTTTACTTTGATTTATGCATAAACATGAATCATCGTTTTCCACTTTGTTTTGGTTTCTTTGAAAATTTCTTCTAAAATTTACTGAACTCTGAATACTTTAGTTTGCGCTCTCCTTTTTTTTTACTTTGTGTATTGGAATTTTTACTGGTTTTTTGTTTAGCAATTGTAATGTGTTGACTTAATGATCAATTTTGTGGCTCCTTGGAAGGTTAAACTTTAATATTGCTTATATATTCTGTCTTTAAATTACATCATTTTACAGTGATAATTAGAAAATGCTAGCACATGCTGTGTGGTTGTGTTCGTTTTGTGTCTGCTTCTCGTTTCGTCTTTAAATATATAAATATTCTTTTTGTTGACTTTGTTACAATTTACAGTTGAAACACTTAAATGTAGTTTGGATAGTTAAATTTAAAAAAATGCCTATAATCCAGTATTCCTCATCCGATGCGACCCACTCGTTATATATTATCTGTCTTTAACCCTTTTCTTCGTCTGGCTGTAACACGTGCGATTTGTTTGTTGTTTAAATTTGATTTAATTTATTTGCGATTAGAGTTAATTGCGTTACAATACGAATGTCGATATCTTATGTTCACAAAATATGTTCAGGTTTAATTACGTTCTGAGTAGAAGTCAAAGCGTTCTTCAAATAAACTAATTTACATTTAGTCAATTGCTATATTAGAATCATATGCTCTACGCTTAGTTATGCTATACTTTAATATGTAATTTAATCAGTTTAAATTTTAATATGTTATTCGTAGTTCGTGTGCCGTGATAAATATTCGTTCATTTATTTAACTAATTGATGGAAACTGATTAAAAACATTTGTGCTGCCTGACTAATTTCATTGTCTGCTTTTGATTATCGCTAAATCGCTCATAGTGGATACGTTTTGTTATCTTCTATAAGTGGCATAATAAATCTTACCTGGATCGCAATCCTATATATGTACACACGATCCGGACACGAGTCGCTCTACGATTTGAAAATATTGCTTAGCGTACATTACTTTTTCTTTGCTCGATTTTGGCAATTTTCGGCATTCATTTTTACAAGTTTCTGACGGATTTGCACGATGCATTCTTCGTTTCCTTTACATTTACATTGTCCTTATACGAGTTTAACAAATTAAAATTAGTTTCGAATGGCAGTTGGTGTTCTGTTCTTCTTAAACTTCTTCTTATGTTTGTATATTTTTTCGTGTATAAACATTTTATTTCGTTTGGTTGTTAAAATTGAATTGGTCTATTGCTTGCACTCAGATTAGTGTGCCTTAAAATAGGAATCAACTTCTGGTTGTGTGAGTGTGTGTCTGTTATTAAAACGTTGGAAATGAATCTATGTAAAATGCAATTCAAGTTGGACGTTTCACAATATCACGTTGAGAAATATGCATACACAAAGCAATTAAACAGTAAACAAATGGCAAATAAACAAGTCTCATTCAATACACAGCTTGAGGCTAACTAAAAATAGTCAAAATATCTATTTTGTTACGTTTCTAATTTTTATATAAAATTTCTCTTTCTTTTTTCTGCAGATGTGTATGTTTATAAGTCTGTATTTATGTATATATATATATATATATATATATATATAAGTGTTATATATTTTTGTGTAAATGCCAACATTATCGGAGGAAGGATTGACTGACTCTGACTAACTCTCTCTCTATTTCTCCCTAAGCACACATTCCCCACTATACCGTTCTCTTTCCCTAACTGTCTGTCTATCTCTCTCTATACATACTATACATTTGAACTGAAAGACGCATGTTGGCCTTTTGTTTTCACTATCGAATCACAGCAATTGAAATACACTTAACTCAAAGGGAGACTAAACTAAGAACTTGATGTAGTAAATGGGTTATTGATCCTCCAGCCGGTCGTCCTGATCCTGCAGCAGCTGCACTCCCACACCGGATGCTCCTGAGCCGCCACCGCCGCCGCCGCCGCCTCCATTTCCTGACAGGCCACCACTACTGCTCGTATTCTTGCGCAGGTGATTGCGCAGCATCACCAGGTTTCGGTTCAGTGGCAGATTGCTAGACAGGCCCGAGCTCGGGGCATGTGGCAGCGTGTTGCAGATGTTGCCCAGCGGCGCCGAATGGGCGGTGGGCGAGGTGGCCGTGGCCAGGCCGTGGTGCGGCGTCAGGGTGCCAGTGCAGGGTGCATGGCTCAAACCAAGACCAAGACCAAGGCCCATGCCCATGCCTGAGCCGGAGCCAGAGCCAGAGCCCACGCCCAGCAGCAGCTCGTGGGCCAGTATGGTGGGCAAATGTTAAGTGCTGCTCTTCAGCGGACCCGACGATAGCGAACTGCTGCTGACCCCCGAATCGCTCGACTTCTCGCTAAGCCCGCCACGCGTGAGCGTATCGTCCGCCATAAGGCCGTTGCCGCCGAGAAAGGACTTCTTCCCCAGGCGACCGCCACCCGGGAGAGTGGCCTTGAACGGATTATCCTTGCAGCGGCGGGCGCTCTCCACACGCTTCATTATCTCGCTGGAGCACTTGGTCACCACATCGTCCAGACTGTTCGATTCGTCCGTCGAATTCACCGCCTGTGTGGGTGTCTGCGAACTGGGCAGCGGCGATCCCTCGTAGCAGCCTGAGTCGCGGGGAAAGTGCCGACGGCCAAAGGGCGAGGCCCCATGCTTTATGTTGATGTTGTTCAACCGCGCCTCATCATTTTCCGAGCTGGAGCCGGCTATGTCCACATCGGAGCCTGTGCGGGCGAAATTTGTAGCTGTGAGTATGCGTGGGTGTGTGTTAGAGTGGGGTGTTTTTAGTACGAGGTGAGAGTGGGTTAGGTTAGGCTTTATCAACAGTTGGTTTACTTAAGCAATGACTCAAACCGAAGGGCGAACGCAAGAACAAGTATTTTAAACTATCTTATAATACCGCACTTATGGCCACAATCAACTTATCAGCATTCTCTTTATAGGCCCTCGAAGAGCCGATAAAAAATACAATGTATTTTAGATTGCCCAATAAAGTTAAGATTTAAAATTATGAATTTCACAATTCCCTAAAAGGTGGCGTTAATTTGAACTTTGTTTTTAAGGCTATATACGCAATATTGACTTGTCGTGAAGCAATCAGTCTATTAACCAGGTTAAATATATGTTTTAAGGTTTAAAGTCAATGCTCAAAAACTAAACAAAATTAGTGTTAGAATTAACTAAGAAAAGTCTTAAATTAAATTTGATTATTTAATTATATTAAAATATTTATTTATACAATTATTCTTCAAAACCTAAGATAAATCGAATTTGAGTGTAGTTGCTTACGATTTGTTAAATTTGATATTTTATTAAAACTAAATGCTGATCTTTATTAAAGGTATTAGTATTGTACCCATTTTAAAAATATACTTAAAGGTTTAAAGTCTATGTTCAAAGCCTTAGATAAAACGAATTTGATTCTAATTTTTTTTTTTACGGTTTGTAATAACAAATAATCATAAAATCAAAATCCAAGCACACATTATTTAGCATACAAGTTTCATGCGTTCGCCTTACTGAAATGCAATCGTTGCATAAATATAGCCCTTTTTTTAGGGATTTAAAAAGGACCTTTTGGTAGCTAAACTTACATTCAATGTCATGCAGCAGCTGCACAGCCGTCAGCAGCTTGGCACGGTGCTCCTGATTGAGAATGCCCAGGTAGTCCAGGTCGGCGGGTTCCAGCTCCTTGAAGAGTTCGAGGTCCTCGTAGCTGCAAATGGAACGATAGGTGAAACAATCCAACAAAAAATATTGTTGGTAAATTTGTTTCATCTACACCACTTACCCGTTGAGCACGAACACGGAGGTGTACTCCTTGAGTCCGATGCGAATCAGCAGGTCCTCCACGGAGCAGGGTCCCCCATTGTGGCTGCTGCTGCCGTTGCCATTGCCGATCATTGGATTAGCCAAACGGGAGCCGGGGGCCAGCGTCTTGCTGCTGGAGTTCTTCATGCGCTGCTCCGGCAGCACCTCCACGTTGATGAACTTGAAGTGGCCCACGCGGCCGTGGCATCGTCCCTTCCAAATGCCCGAGGCATTCATCGACAGCACATCAATAAGCTCGCCCTTCTGCAGATGCGAGCACAAAATTATTAGATTAGCATGCTTCGAGAAATCCTTTTCAGTAGTTAAGAAAGCTTCTTAATAGCCAACAAAAAAAAACACATATTTTAAAGCTAATTTAAACAAGATTTTTGAAAATATTTTAGATTAGAACACTGGTAAAAATAAAACTTAGTGCCTAAGTCCAACAATTAAATATTAATATGGAAATACTACAATGTTTTTAATATTTTCAAAATAGATTTATAGCATTAAATATAGTGCTATTAAATATTAAAAAAATTCAGTGTATTTATCAATATGATTTTATATATTTAATTTAATTATGTAAATAGTTAAAGGAAAGCAATTTTATTTAATGTTTAATTTGTATATCAATGAAAAAAAATAGTTTTGAAAATTGCTAGAGACTTTTATTCCTGTAAGCAATTAAGTGTTCAGAGGACCCTAGACGTTTCACCAACTCACCTTGAATTTGAGTGCCTCCTTGTCGTAGGGATTGGGCAAACTATCCACAAGGGCCTTGGCCTTGCAGATGCAGCTGGCCATCGAGGTGCGATCCTCGGCCGAAATCGAGCTGTGCGGACTGCCAGGACGAACTAGCGCTTGGGTGCCTGTGGGCGAAGGAATTCGGAGAGGGAGGGGGAAGATTGATAAATATTTACAATGCTTTTTTGGGCCAAAGTTTGTCCTGGCAAATTTCCAATTAATGCGCCCACAGCCAATTAGCCGCAGGCCCCAAGGAATTTACTATGGACAAACACTCAGCCGTGCATGCTTGCCCCACTCACACTCATTCGTTTGGTTAATTAAAAACTTTTCAAATATTTTAACATACACACACACACACACCCCCGAAAATATTCAAATATGCACTTGAAGTTTTCCATTATTTTTCTGGGCGCTGTGTTGTTTTCTTTGCGTTGCTTTTGTTTGGTTTGCTGGCCAAAGCTTTTGGCTAATCCTTGCTTTGTGTCCTGGCCACATGAAAAATAAAGTATTTTTCCTTGCACTTTTCAAAGTTGCCACCCATCGTAGCGTAGTTGCCTTTTATTTGGCCGAAAAGTTTTGTTCATTAAAAAGGAAGCGGTTGCCCTTCATTTAACCACGCCCCAGACATTGCAATCTCTGCCCCCTTTTGACCCCCAAAAAAAGGCAACAGCAGCAACAGCAACAGCAGCAGCAGCAGCAAGTGCATTAAAAATTCATTAAGTTTGCAAAATTTGAAGGAGCAACAAAAAACCGCAACAAGAACATACAACTGTTAATAGACCAATATGCAAGCCAGCCAGCCAGCCAGCCAGCAAGCAGGCAAGGCAGTCTGGGAATATTTCCATGGAGCAGAGCATCAATGCTGCAGACTTGCAGACAAAATCAAATCCGAAAACTCTAAATTGCCAGCTCAGAGCTCAGACAAAGATACACAGATATGCACACTTGCTATTACTCCTATCCGTACTTACTCGAACCGGATGCGCTGGGCAAACTTTCCACGGAGCTGGCCGAACAGGCAAACGCCTGATCGCTCATGCTGCCACGGTCGGTATTATCTTGGGAATTGCTAAAATCCCTCGACGTATCCTTTGTGGCAACAAAGTTTCGTCCATTCTCATTAAATGCGCCAATTTCCTTTGCCGAGCTACGCATCTCGCCCGACTGACAATCCCCAAACAAGCCAAGCCGCCCAGCGCCGTAGTGAAAGTTATCCATTATTTTTATTTATTTTTTTTTTTTTGTTATCCGTGTCGTCGTCAGCGTTGTGCAATAAATTGCATGTCGAAGGGTAGAGCCGCACCAGAACACCAGAAACAGAACAAGAACAGCAGGAAAGTTTTGTTAGTTAAATCATTAAAAAGTTTAAAACGAACATACCAATACGCCCAGGAAGAGAAGGGATTTGGCTTTGCTTACACAGAGCGTCAAAAGAACTAACTATTAATTTAATTTGTATATATTTGCTGTCGAACGCAAAGACAAGAAAGTCTCAAATTAAATGGTTTAAATAAGAGACTAATATTAAAAATATAGGCAAAAATTTTGTTGGAAATCGAACCAAAAATTGTTTATTTATATTTAAGTAAAAGTTATTTTGTAATCTAAGTAAATAATTTAAATAACAATATTGCTTCTTACCTATCTAGCAAACGTAATTTTTATGCAAACTTATATTTGAAAACCTCAGTAAAGACAGAAATCTAACTAAAAGTTTTTTTCTGTGTAAGATTTATGTTTTTAGTGCAGTCAGCATTAGTTTTGCTTTGCCTTAAGCCTTTAACTCCTGAAGCTGGACACCATAAAACTTTGCTCATATTTTTTGGCAGGCCTCGACTTGCATCGCATCGAAAGTTTTGCCGAGATGAACTTTCACTTTTACGACCCCGCCGCCAAAAACAGTGCAAGCGGCCATAAAAACTCATTAAATTGGCATTTGCATTTAGAGTGCATGTCGCGGCGGCCAAGAGGAGGTTAGATCGAGCCGGGCCATAATGTGGCTTTTGGGCCGATGCAAACGGCCAATGGGCAATCTGGCTAATTACAAAATGTGTCAACAAAATCTCTGTGGTAACTGCATCTCAATGCACTTCTCTCCATCTCTTCCTGCAGAAACCGGTTTCTGTTTTCCTCTGGCATTGGGCATTAGGCATTAGCGTTTAATTAACTTACATGATGCACCGTGGCCTTTTGGCAAATGGTGTTCGCCTTGCCATGCGGCAATCCGTTCTTTTTGGCCTTGGCGGCCAGGAGGCTGGGCGGCAGGCATCCGTGACCCCGGGTCACTCCGATGTCCTCGTAATCCGACGAGGGACTGGGCGACAGCGAGGGCGACTCCCCGATTCCGCCGCTTAAGGTCCTATAGCGGGCCGTGCAGTTGTTGGTGCCAATCTGAAAAGGGTGAAAAGGGGCGGTAGAAAAGCGGATTGAGTGCGTTTCCATATTAGCCAAGTTAGGGCAAGTCAACTTTGCAAATGAAATGGTCAGGACCAGCGACCCCCTCCAATCCACATTCCAAACCCAAATCCAAACCAATAGCATTTGCCGTTCGTATTCCGACAACGTTTAGCTGACTTAAGTGCCAACTCCGACTCCGGGAAAACAAGGAAAAAATACTAAAAACCCGAAATGGTAGGGGGGCGTGGGGAAAA